CTGGTGAACGCGGCACAAAGGTAGTGGTGAAGATGATCTATGACCGCGGCGATCCCCGACAAGCATATGAGAATCGTTTGGATGTACCAGAAAAGAAATACACAAGTGAGAAAGTTCAACTTCCTCCAGTTGAGGAAGTTCCCAATATTGATCTGCAGGTTGTCAATTACCACCGTCCTATATTCGGAACGTTCCACGCTAAGTTCATGGTTGTTGATCGGAGGATAGCCCTGCTGCAGAGCAGTAATGTCCAGGATAATGACAACCTGGAGATGATGGTTAGACTTGAAGGACCTATTGTGGACGCCTTTTATGACGCCGCTTTGATCTCATGGGGAAAACATTTCGATACGCCCTTTCCAATGTTGTCTTCTCCAGCTGCGGGTGCTCCAATTCCCAGCCTTTCCCTCATGGACGTAAGCCACAAAGAGGAATGTCAGGGATTGTCTTTGCCCGAGCACACCACGGTAGACCAGCACTATGACCTTGACATCAAGAACGAAGCACGGCGGGTCAACGGCACCCTCAAGCCTAGGCCTGGAGAATCTAAAACTGCTCCGGTCACTCGCCACCTGAGTATGATTGCTTTTAAGTTGTTTTCTACTCAAGAAAAACGTTGTCTAACAAGTCATACAGACACGACTACTCAAACAAACACAACCGGGGACGCCCCGGACATTGATCAAGATACCCCAATGGCACCGTATATTATATCCCCACCTCATGAAGCATGCCCAATGGCCTTAGTAAATAGGGAACCCTGGGGTGGTAAGCACTGATTCAAAAATATTCCATGAGCTTCTATACTTACAACCTCTAGCTCCGAACCACACCAGTATCTATACCCCTCAAAATGCTGCCTTTCTCTCAGCAATTCAAAATGCGGAACACTCAATCTTCATCCAGACCCCGAATATGAATGCAGAGCCTCTCCTGGAACCATTACTGGAAGCTGTCCGCCGCGGGGTCGTTGTCACATGCTACCTATGTCTGGGCTACAACGATGCCGGACAACTACTTCCCTTTCAAAATGGCACGAATGAGATGATTTCAAACCGATTATATAACTCTCTTGAGAAGCAGGATGAACGCTCACGACTACGTATATATAACTATGTCGGTAAGGACCAGACAAAGCCTATCCATAATAAGTTCAAGCGTCGAAGTTGCCACATCAAGCTTATGATCATCGACGGCAAAGTCGCTATTCAAGGTAGGAAGACAGTGCCCTGTCATTGCTCAATTTTAGGCTAACAGAAAATAGGGAATGGGAACCTCGATACTCAGTCATTCTATCACAGCCAGGAAGTTAACGTCCTGATTGACTCTCCGACCATCTGCCGTTCATGGCTTGAGACGATCAACCGAAACCAGAACACGGCTCTTTACGGAGCGGTAAGTCCAGAAGATGGATGCTGGCATGACGCCTCGACTGCTGAGGTTCCAGAAGGGTCTATTGGTGTCAACCCAGGACGTTTCAGCTGGGCTAAAGGGGTTGTTGGGGCTGTGCAGAGAGTACGAGGAGCTGGCGGGTTTTAATATCTTGGATACCATTGTTTCTTTAGATATAAGCTGAGCACATGATCTGATATGAATACAGAGTTCTATAACAGATCAATTTGACACTCAACCTACTGAGAGCCTGCAAAACAAAGATGTTAAACAAACCGTCACTTTGATTAATTTTCTTTTAATTCCACCCGCACACGAACAAACATATAACGTATAACACTTCAGTGACCTTACACGGAATCCCAGCCCCTGTGACACCTTTTGGTGGTATTTGATGATTGGTCGGGATAAACTAGAATTCAAGTTCTCTAACGAGTCCTGCAGCCAAATAAAACTAAATCTGTTTTGAGGGCCATGTACTGTAGATCACAGCAACTCCTGGCTGGCACTGCATACACAAGCTAAAGGTCTTACCATATTTTATCATCACGGCCTCCCTTCCATGTCATATAGGTTAACCTTTATTTTATTAAACATGCATAGTGGGAATGGAAGATTAGACGACTCACATATCACGCCGCCCTGTCTAGTGCTAAGTGATCATCAATACCGTTCACGACAGGGTCAACTCCACAAATAAATTAAGATAAAATTACAATCCTGAGTGGTATTTTAGACATTACATTAGTCACATTATCTAATACAGATAAACTACTACGCCAGACATGAAATAAATCACAAAACACCTTCCATAACACCAGCAGCTATGAAGGAGGGATGATACTACAACAAGGATCCGAGTGTTTCGTTTTATACCTAAGATACAAGCTCAAACGAGGGATAAAATAACTATAATGGTACTAGTTCGGTTTGAAGGAAGATATTACTGTCGTACGATATAATTAACCCATATTTTCTCTTCTATTAACTCACACCAGAAGGATCGACGTCCCAGGTATATTTAAGTTGGTAATAAAAGCAACCACTAGGAGACCCTAAAACGTGGTCTTCATGACAGCCCGTTTGTTGCCGTACCTAGGAGACACCCAAGTGGGTCAACGGTGCGGAAAAGACAGTCGACAATGGACTCGAAGCATAAGTTTAGCGTTTTATGAACCTAACTAACGGGAAGGTACTATGTATAGGTACAGACTACAGAGCACTAGCACAATGGGCTGCATTTTCGCACCAGTGCACTGCTCTAACATCCAATACTAAGGGCCCTTAGAAAGGTAAGCAACGGCAGAGCCGAAGCCCCCTATTTTAGATTCTTTTTTCCCCCGAAACCCCACAAGCTTACTACTGTGTATACCTCTAATCAATAAAAGGCATTGATCTGCTCGAAATACCGTCCACTCTTGCAAGCGAAGAACCGACTCCGCTACCGTTGTTTCAGACTGATGAAGAACTCGCAAACTGTGATTGAGCTCTGCCCACCACATCCGGCAAATTTCCCGTCCGAAGGACTGGATTGCCCATGTATTTCCTAGTTAAGAATCAATTTAATATATTCGAGCCTATCTCCGCTGGCGGGTAGCTTTAAGACTGTCTATCGATGTGTACAATAGGCCAAGCAGGATAACATAACTACTCTCACGATAGCGCCACTCCGGGGATAGCAGACATGGGGCCATGGAGGTTCAGAAATATAAATGACAGACGTCTCCCTGGGACCCCCTTTCCCATATGGTTAGACAGCTGGATACTACCTTCATAATGCAAGTGAATCTGTTCTATACTTTGGCCCTCTGGGCACCAACTCTTGTGTCAGCTCAGCTGTCTGGGTCTGTCGGGCCTCTTGTGGACTTCCAGACCAAAGCAAAGAATAAAACCTGCGATATCACCGATTATGGCGCTGTCGCAGACGGTAAAACCGACGTCGGCCCGGCCATTCTAGACGCCTGGGGTAACTGCTCAACCGGGGGTCTCATTTACGTACCCCCAGGTAACTATTCGCTTGCAACGGATCTGGAACTGAAGCACGGTGAATCCACGGCCTTCCAGCTGGATGGTGTATTAGTGCGCGGTCATGAAGGCTCCTACCAATTGATCCTGGTACGCGACTGCCATGACTGCGAGTTTTTCAGTGGCAATTCCCAAGGCGCGGTCCAAGGGTATGGATATGAATACCTTCAAGATGGGAATTACGGCGAACGACTCTTCCGCTTCCAGGATGTCAGTGACTTCTCGGTCCATGGCTTTGCTGCGATCGATTCCCCAGCGTACTACTTTGTCTTCGATACCGTTTCCAATGGAGAGATCTACAATCTTCTTGTGCGAGGGATCGCTGACCTAGGTATGACGGACGCATTCGATATATGGGGCCAGAACGTATGGGTCCATGATATCGAGGTTACCAATGGCGATGAGTGTGTGACGGTGAAGTCTCCGGCCTCGGGCTTTCTAATTGAGAACATCTACTGCAATCTGAGCGGCGGAACTGCCATTGGGTCTCTGGGTACTGGCACCAACATTTCCAACATCTACTACCGAAACCTTTACATGAACCAGGCCGACGCCTGCTACCTGAAGACCCACAATGGCGATGGAATAGTCAAGAATATTGTCTGGGATAATGTCATCGTGCATGGAGGCCCTTATCCCCTCGCAGTGAATGAAGCCTGGGGAAAGGATGTGGGCTCTACAGGTGTTCAGGTTCAAAATCTGACTTTCCGCGTAAGTGAATGTCAAGTCATGAAAACCCAACCACAACGCTGACAGAATTTCCTTAGAACTGGTACGGCGAAAACGTCGCTAACAGCCGACCGGTCATCCGAATCGAGTGTGACGAGGACGTCCCTTGTTACGACATCACCCTTGACAACGTGAATTTGTGGACCGAAGACGGAGACCATGTGGAATGGTCCTGTGCTAATGCGTACGGCTCGGGTGCTTGTTTACAAGAAGCGAAAGACACCAATGATCTAACTACCTATACTACGGCTGTTACCGTGACTGCAACGCCGTACGTCTAATCTAGTTACCCTAATACCTTGGAAGTTCTACTGACATGGGATACCCTCAGATCCTACTCCGCTACACGCATGCCCGGTGATTTTACCACGAATCCTCCGTCTACTGCTCCCTTTACCATTCCCCCATTGCCCACCAGTTTCTTCCCAGGGGCAACCCCTATATCGACTCTATTGAGTTTGAGCGGTGCAGGGGGTCTCTGAATGATACAGTGATGGTTTCGGGGAGATACGCGGTAATGATTGCAGTCAATATGGACAGATTTGCACGTCTTGATTATTCGATCAGTATAACCAAGATACTTGTTACATCCTCCTCTACTCCGCTTGTCGTCCTCGTTACCTTTTCTACATGTTCCTTCATCCAGCGTAAGCCTTGTACCCATCAATGTCTATCATCCATACACAACTCCAATCCTAAAAGTCGCACAACCAACCCAACCCAAACCCTATATCTATAACAAAAATGCCCCGACCCTTCATACTCCCCTAGTACACCCCCCACACAAAGACATCTCTCCTCCACACATACACACCTCCCCAACATCGCCCACCCCAAACCCAAACACATCAAAAATGACACTCCCCTACGACCCCCCAATCCAATTTCTAAAAACCTACCTCTATAACAACACCATCACCAACCCAACAGCCTACACCTCAGCCCGCACAGCCCTGCTCGACGCATTAGGCTGCGCAATCGAAACAGCCTCGAAAAGCCCCGAAGCCCAGAAGCTCCTTGGCCCACGAGTCCCAGATACAATCGTTCCCAATGGATTCAGAGTCCCGGGTACGATATACCAGTTGGATCCGGTGAAGGGGGCGTTCGATTTAGGTGTTCTCATTAGGTATATGGATCATAATGATGCTCTTGGAGGGAGGGAGTGGGGACATCCTTCCGGTATTTTTCTTTTTTTTTTTTTTTTTTTTTTCGTTTTGTATCCATCAATTCTATTTCTTTTTTCTTTTTCTTTTTCTTTTTTTTTTTTTTGAGAGGGGCGAATGGGTGTGGGTGTGAGTGTGGGTGTGGATTGATTTCTGTTTGCGATTGTGATAATAAAGATAAATGATTATACTGATCATAATGGATCCCCGACAGATAATCTAGCAGCTATACTCTCCGTAACAGACTGGCTCTGTCGAACCAACGAACCAACCCGCAAAGGGCCCCCATTGACAATGCATACCCTCCTCACGGCCCTCATAAAAGCCTATGAAATCCAAGGCATCTATGCGCAAAGCAACGCCTTCAACACCCACGGTACAGACCACGTCATCCTCGTCAAGCTCGCCTCGGCAGCCGTCGTCTCCTGGCTCCTTGGCTTAACCGAGTCCCAGACAATGGCTACCATCTCGCACGTCTGGATGGACGGTCATCCGAGCCGGGTCTACCGCAGCGCGGAGAATACAATCCCCCGGAAAGGATGGGCGGCGGGAGATGCGTGCATGCGGGCAGTTCACTTGGCGTTGCTGGTTAGGGCTGGGCAAGTTGGTGTGTCTTCTGTGTTGAGTGCGGTCCCGTGGGGGTTTTATAAGCGAGATTTCGGTGGGGAGAGGTTTGAGTTCCCCAGGGAGTTTGGGGATTGGACGGTTAGGAATGTCTTGTATAAAGTTATGCCGGTTGAGGGGCATGGGATTGCAGCTGTTGAGGCGGTTTTGGTTCAGCGGGGGCGGCTTTTGGAGATGGGATATGTTGTGGGTGACGTATCAAGGATTGAAATAAGGACCACTAGAGCAGCAGATCTTATTATTAATAAACGGGGTCCGTTGGGAAATGCGGCGGAGAGGGATCATTGTATCCAGTTCGTTGTTGCTTTGGCGTTGTTAAAGGGGGGCGTGCCTGAGGTGGGGGATTATCTGGATGAGAGTTGCTGGGTGAGGAGTCAGGAGTTGGAGAGCCTGCGGGAGAGAGTAGTTGTTGTGCCGGACCATCGGTTGACGGCTGATTATCTGGATCTGGAGAAGAAGAGTATTGGGTCGGGTTTGACGGTGTGCCTAAGTGATGGTACTGTCCTGCCGGAGGTGCTGGTGGAGTATCCAATTGGTCATGTCAGGAATCCCGACACTTCAGCTGCTGTTCGAGATAAATTCATGAGAAACATGCGTTTGGTGTTCTCGGATACTCATATCGCTAAAATTCTGGCTGCTGTGGAGGACGATGAGATGAGTATTTCGGAGTTTGTCAATTTGTTCTGGCTCCAAGGGTCAAGCACCAAGCTTTGAACATGATATAGGTACTGACAGTTGAAGCGTGTAAATGTTTATATTTTTCACTGTATGAGGAACTTCAATCTATTTCAGATAACCAGTATCTGCTGCATGATCTATTATGTTTGTGAGTTACCGGTACATATCTAGTCTTGTCAGTGGGCATTGGAAAGGCCAAAGACGCTACAATATCCTAACGTCCATCAACCGACCTTACCAACTCCTTGCAGAGTCAGATACACGTCAGTCCCCCACCCCCACAGGCTCTGTACGGCGATACTGCCACCAAAGTATTCAGCATAGGCCCTACTTAGTGGCAATCCGTATCCGAGTCCTGCGATGCTACTCAAATGGCCACTGCTGGAGGACATAGCATTCAAGGCATCCATATTCCCATTCTCCGATCCCTGTGAGTCAAGATCAGAGAACGTGGTGAAACTGTAGGACCAAATGTTTGGCAGAATCTCGGGAGGAATTCCACCACCCCGGTCGCGGATTCTGATCGTAATGCTTTGCGTCGAGGGAGATGAGAACTTGATTGATTCGTTCGCATCTGCGGTTCCCACGACGGTGTCCATCTCGAATCCCACATCCGAGTTGGGATGGGTGGGATATGTTCCCGCCGACACTGAGTACGGCCCACGCACAGGGTTTCTCGGAACGTCAGGCGCAGCGGCGATTGTCACCTCAACAGGCTCGCGTTCATTCCCCGCTTCAACCACGGCTCTGAATGCGTTCTTCAACAGTTCCGTGAGTATGTATTCGACATGTACAGGAACATGCGCAAAGGTGGCATCCGGTTGCCCGCCGATCGTGAGTCGTGGGCGGACCCCATATTTCAGTTCGCAAATCTCTCCAACGAAGTCCTCACAGAGCTTGACAATGCGTGCTGGTTGCAAGGCAGTATCGATGACACCGATATAGTTCGATGGAGATGTGCTTTTCGCTGGCTTGCCATCATCGCCAATCGGCTGTGAAGCGAAATGGAGCGCCAAGTGTTGCTCAGCTATCAGCCGAGTGCCGATTCGCGCCCGCAGGTGGGTATCTAAGAACCGAGTCACCTCCGTCGGATCGATATATCGGCGACACTCTAGAAATCCACGCGCAAGAATTGGAATTGTATCTGTATGGGTGTGGACTAGATCCGCTAAAACCTCTGCAAAGTGTTTCTCTTCCTCGAGTGTTGTGATCTGCCGTTGCTGGTAAGGGAGAAGTGTGGACAAAGAATGAAGGTAGTTATTGTAGATCTTCGAAACATGCGGGTTCGAAACAATGATAAAGGGGAGGTTCCGTAGAGCTTCGATTCGAGATGCAAGTCGGGCAGGAAGGAGGGAAAGAGTAAAATTCGCCGATGCGAGGAGAGCATCCTTCGATAACGGTGGACGACCGTGTCTAGAGAGACCGCAATTAGTACATCCTGCGCATATAAGGTAAGGCAACCATATCCCCCAGCACCAAACGTACTTCAGCAAATCTGCAAGAGTCAATGGCCGACGACGGCTGGCCGCAAGACGTGTGACTTCATCATTTGCCCCGTAGGCGAACGAGTGCTGAGTTGATGTCGCAACCTGGGGAGGCGGTGAAACAGAAAATTGACGTGCTTTCTGGATATTATAGGTTTGATGAATCCTATGTCGGACGCTGCAGCTCGCTGTCCGTGCGAGAGCGTTGGTTAAGGCCATCTTTAGCAATAGCCATTCTGTGACTAGCTCAGCATCAATTCATGTCATGTATCACTGACTTTCGTCATGTCATCATACCACTCAAAAGGGTAATCCTCACGTGGAGTGACGCTAATACACTTCAGGCAAAGTGAATGGAGTGGGAGGTTGCTTAGTCAAATGTGCCGTGTCAACTATGAGAAGAAGAAAATAGCGTTCTACGTCCTTTTTCCGTCCCTTCACTGCTCGAAGGATCTTCAAAGGTATATACGGTAGTCAAAATGGATAAAGAGAGTGGTAATCCATGGACTATCGAGAAAACAGGCAACTGGTGCGAACTGCAGACTCTTACTTCAGTCCAATAAGACTGCGTCAAAACGCGTGAGAGCCAGTCCTACTCCGTACATGACACGCCTATCGCGGCTCATTGATCTTACAGCTTATCGTATGTATGTACTATGTACGCATACTTGGCTTGCCTTGGTTGGTCGCTTTCCTGTATGGTGAGGTCATTATTCCTTGAGTATATCTTCGAAGCCTGGTCGGTAGACAGAAAATGGCACACCATGGTGGGAACAAAGAACAGCCGTTACAAAATGAACTGAAAATTCGATATGATTTCAAGTCATAATTGAGCAGGAGAATAGTCTCCGATGAGTCCAAATTTCCGCACAGCAGACCCGGCACTCATGAGGAGCATTCTCTTGAAACGCTAGACTAGAATATTCGTAATTCGTACAGCCACCATTGAACCGCAACTTCCCAGGTCAGTGTCGACGCTTACTTATGTGGCTAGTTCCGCTGCTTGTCGCCAGCAGTGAGTTATCGCAATCTGTCCTGGGCTCGACGTGTATTTCCATTACTGCATCTTCATTTCGCCATCCTGTTCAACGTGGATATGATCACTCGACTCAAGAGTACTAACATGGTCTGCGGGGTACTCGACACTAGTCACCGTCAGTTCCGCTGGTTTGGTGATGTTGTGGGGCGGCGTTATGCCGGATGGCTGCCTTACGTGAAACCCTTGATCAGGCTGTACTCATGTTTGATGGTTCCTCCTTGTTCTCTGACCTTCTGCTTCGCTCTTCGAACGAGGGTGCAATGTCAGCAGCTATTCTTTCTAAAAGCTAAACTATAGGGCAACTCACTTCTCCAACTCTTCAGCGGGAGAGTCCTTCTTGAGCGTGACCTAAAGAGATAGACAAATGAGCTTCGAGAAACCACAAGACGGTAGGACAGGTATAACGAACGTTGTAGAGAGGCATTTTTATGTGTGTAAAGTAGAATGTGGAGTGACTGTTTCAATGAACGAGGGTTTGAAGTGGACAGATATGGTGTAGCGTTTAGGGGGTTGTCAGTTGGAAAGTAATATTAGAAACAAGCCGTGGACAGGGTGGGACACCGGGAGACTTTATACCACCTTGCGGGGGTTTGAGCCAATATCACCATTGATAAGGGGAGAAATGCGACTTTCGCCCGATAGCGCGGAAAGACAAACTGTTGCCTCAGTCTGCAGGCTTCTCAGTTCCTTGGAATCGCGCCATTTGGGCCATTCCCCTCGTGACAAAGTTTCCTACTCCGTCATTTCCGTAGTATTTATTGTTTCAGGTCTTTTTTTAACTTCCAAGTGTCGTCAGAACTCTACATCATTTATACTTGTAGGTTTATCTATTCCATATCTCTTGTGGCTTTGGATCGCCTGTGGCAGTGTCTTTGTAGAACGGACGCCTCCTCAGTGACATGCATGACGGATGGTGGGGTAACACGGCGGACTACTAAGTATGACGATGACGATGGATGGCCTTGGGCGGGGCAGGTCACGTGTTGGGTATCCCGTTCACTTCCATGCGCCTCACCGCCTCAGGTACCGCCCTGCTCAGTCCTGAGCATTCTGGCCTCAGCAGAGAATCCTTGAGGCTACGTCATCAGCTCTTTCCGTAAGGCAACGAGGCTGTGTACTGCTACACGCCTTATGCGACTTCTTTAGGAATGCTGCAGAGCTTACTATACCATTTTGAAATGAAGATGCATACGTTACATTCCTGGTATAACCTTCTATTGCTAACAAGTCACCTAACTCACACCTATTATATATCTTTGAGAAAACCAACTTCAATAACCTTCTCCGTTGCTAGTCCAAGAGATGCTATTTTCGCTCTTGTATTCTCACGGATCCACAAAAAGATCCATAAGACCAATCTCCGAGCGTAATTTTTACTCTTCTTGATCCTCATTTGCTCCTTACCGGTGATATATATGACTCCATGGTTATAGGCGTCTTCGAGATTTGCCAATGAAGTATCATATCGCCCCCCGCCTACTATCGAGGACTCCCCGGTTACAGGTGTTGTAGACCGCTGTACAGAGCTAGCATGGCTCTTGTTTGTGACTGTGTCAGGTGTACATGTGGATGGGTCAGTTTGATCACAAGCTCTTGCAATCAGGTACCTGCGGACCTGCTGAGTGATTGTGTTCGCTAAATCAGGTGTGATGATCTCGTCGTTGTAGCCATAGCGAACAACAAGACGGTAGCAGTTAGGGATCGCAAGCCTGGAAACCGTATAGCGATCTTCCGCTGCCACCGACGGTGTTTCGAGGGGGCGTAGATGAAAGAAGGTTATTACAGCAGGCATGGTGGTAAGCTTGAGGATGAACTGACTGAACACGATTGGGGTGGTCTCCCCGGCCTTGTCAAAAAATATCCCGAGACCTTTTGTTATACTCAATGGGGTATTTCCATATCTATCGGTAAGACGTGTTTGGCCATCTGGACCTTTGGAGACGAAGTGTGAGGTGGGAAAGCGATCTTCAGCCTCGGCAAACCATTGCTGTTCTTTCCCAAATCTCCATATTAGAAATAGAATGGCCAACACGGTAGCAAGTGCGAGGGTAAACCAGGCGCCAGTGGGGACCTTCATGAGAGCGGAAGAGAGATAGGCACCGTCCAGACAAGCAACTATGAGCCATGGGAATAGCACGATGAATGGGCTAATACGCCACACAAACATAGCTGCTAACGATACCATGCATGTGTCGAAGAATGTGACGAACATAACGCAGACACCGTACGCGTTACCCAGAGACGTGGTCTACAACTAGTCAGCATTGGCATTTAACTTCTGAAACCAAGACGTACATTGTTGTAGATGGAAGCTATAAGTATTGTTCCAACCATAAGGAGCCAATTCGCTATCGGAATGTAAAGCTGGCCGTGAAAGATGTCTGAGGTATGGACGACTTTGATCTGCGGAAAGTATGACAGTTTCATCACTTGTGTGAGGAGCTAACAGGACTCTTAGCGGGTACCTATTCATTAAGTTGATCATGGTCTTACCTGAAAGGTCGCCGTTATGATGGCCTGAGAAGCAACAACGGCAGCTAGAATTGCAATGACTAACGCAGGATAGACAGTCCCCGGTGGTGCGGCGTTGAAAAATGGATTCGAATATGCTTCTGGATGCACACTAATATAGGCTGCTTGTCCGATATAAGCCAAGAGTAAGCATGGAAAGGCGTAACCTAACCAGCTAATCTGTATAGCTCTTCTGCTGAAGGCTCCAATATCTGCGAAGAGAGCCTCGACTCCAGTGAAGGCGAGCAACGTTCCGCTGAGCATCCTCCAACCCTCCTCGCCATGCCGGGCCAGGAAACTGAAGGCGTACCCAGGGTTGAATGCTATGAAGACACCAGCGTCATACTTGGCAAGGTTGTATATGCCAAAAGCAGCGTTGAACCCGAGCCATATGATGACAATGGGTGCAAAAGCAAATGTAAGCCTGGTAATACCAAGCGGTTGAATTAGGAACAGGATGACCAAGATAGCATCAGTAACTCCTATAATGGTGCCTTTCGAAATGTTGGGCGATACTACTTCAATCCCTTGGACGGCTCCTAGTACTGATTGAGCTGGTGTAAGGAGGCCATCTGCAAGGACCATGGTAACCGCCAATACTCCCATGACTTTGAGAAGGCGTTTCGCAACGCTGCTTGACTCGAGTCGATGACGTACATGTCTGCTTGTTCGTTCAAGTTCATCCGTTAAGTGTCTTTTCATTTGGACCAGGGAGGCCTCTCTTGGGTCACGGTTGGTAATGTTCATCTAGGGATGCGAAGGTCAATCTCTACAACCAGAAATGCAACGTTAGGGGGGCTTACATAACGGCTCAGCAAGGAATATGTGCTGAACGTGCCTCCTTCGCCGTCATTATCTGCTCGAAGAATAACCAAGACATACTTGACCGTCACCATCATGAACAGGCTCCAGATAATTATGGAGAGCACCCCAATGAGATCTTGACGGGAAGGTGCCTCACTGAATGTTGACGAGTAAACATAGAGAGGGCTGGTACCAATGTCACCGTATATAACACCAATTGATTGATAGGCGAGCCAGAAAAGCATCCTTCCCCCGAAAACCTGTTGATACTTAGTATGATAGTCAACTCCGCCTGTGCGTCTCGTACCTGGGGTTGTTTATAATCTCCTGGCTTGCGTAGTCCGGGATCCTCATCGGCCTCGCCCAGTGTGCTTACTGCACTCTGGAGTCTATCCAGAGGGCTATTCCAAGGCCGGACATTGTAAATGTCATCGTGTGATTGTTGTACATCATGTTCCGGACTCTTCTGTACTATAGCGCCTTTTTCAAAATCCCGGTTTTCGTCCATCCCAGTGCAGGGAGCGGCTATTCGCTACATCAGAAAGAGATTAGTGCGTTTATCAATATCTAAACTGGTTGGCAGTGAAGCTATGTTAACAAGCACACATTCTTGTCGAAGAGGTGGAGAGGAAGTATGAACAGGAGAGAACATGTCAATGGCTGACATACATATATTCTTTTTGCACGGGGACACTAAATGTTTTGAACGGATGTTCCACTTGAATTTTGGTTTAACAGTCTTTTCAAAAAAAAAAAAAAAAAAAGAATTGAATGATTATTACCATCTGGTAACAAAAAATCACAACTTTCGTCAATTAACGGCAACATCGACCAACCCAGCCTTATATAAATACGAAGGCGATATCATTATCTCTAGCATCTCACTACAAGCTAGATCTACGCTGACACTCGCTCGTATAATGGCGATAAGGTAATTGCACCGCAGGGATCTTCGTTCTACCTGGGTTGAAGTTCTGACCAACGGGTGACGCTCGTGGACGAACAGCCCGTTTGCGGGATTTATCACCACCAATAGCCAAATCACTCTCCACGATAATTTCCACCTTAAAAGCCACAATGCTTGAGTTATTCAATTATATTTGCTAAGGCTATCTAGACCTGCAAGATAATGAAGTGACGCATGTGAGATGTCAACAGCCACGTGCTGGACCCGGGCCAGAACACAGCGCTCTCAATGTACATCGGGGGTCTGTTGGATTCTGGCCAACATGGTATCAGGTGCATACTTGGGTCACCCTTATCACTAAGGGCTTCACCAATTACATGAATATATCCTTTAGGCTGCTGATAGACAGAGATCTCCCCGTGCTAAATCCAACGCCCATTCAATAACAGCATATTTAGGTGTCACCGCGCATCGAACCCCCACTTCAGCTACAGCCCCACGTAGCCTGATCCATCGTTTTCACGCTGTGGCATTGTCAACCCATGCATTCCTCGATACTTAGGAGGTTCGGGCTCCTTCCAGTTCTCCAGGATGTTGGGGTTAGTCAATTTGTACACCTCTACCCCAAGCGGACGGGTAGTAGCTCCCATGTTCTCACCCTTTTCCTCCCAACCCCAGTTGGACAAATCACCTAAGCACGGTCATTAGCATAACATAACTCTTTTATCCGCTAAATTGACAAGAGACACATACCACCAGGACACGCTGAAAGTGCACACAGGACATCGACCTCGGCGAAGAACTCGAAATACTCTCCTGGCCTCGCCGGGGAAGTTTCCATAAAGTATTTACCTTCTTCATCCAGCCCAGTTACCTGGAACACATTCAGAACGTCGTGCACATCAAGCTCTGTCAGACCATATGGGAGTACAGAGCGGGTAAGGTTCGAATGGCAATGGAAGTCGAAGGACTCGCCACCCATCAGCAGATTCACGTAGGGATCGCATCGGGTACCCAGAAGATCATGAACTCGTCCTCCCCATTGCGTCGTTCCAAATCCCTTTGTCCGCTTACCCTCTGCATCGAGCACTTCATGGAGCTGTCCTCCGCCAAGTGAATCACCCGTGATGGTAACGAGCGGCCGGAGATATGGAAGGTTGGACCAAAGACGGTCTCCAACGGATACGTGAGAGGCATGAATTTGACGGGTGCGCGCTGCCCACAGTCGCTCTCTGGGGTTGTTCGCATTCCATATGTTCAGATCACCCACTTGAGGGCCTTTTGGAGTAGTTAGACGACAGACATGTCCAGCTGGTACAATCCATGCTTGTCCAGAGCATGGACGGATGGTGAAAGATGTCTCTAGGGTTCTCTGAGAGGCGTCTGAGGCGGTGTTTGAGATGGCTCTGTAGACTTCAGAAGAAGCATGGACTGTAGACTCCGGAGGAGCAGTATATGCTGGTGGAGGACGACGGTTGACAACCATTTCTGCGTTCTTGATCGTGAGTGTTTTGTGGCCACGGGAGAGGTATGAAGATTGGCGAGGGAGAATCAATTAAGAGCCCTCTGAGGGGTGGCGCAATCCTTTTATTATTGACCCCCTCTCGGCGACACTCCGATGAGTTTGGTAGCTTATCAAATACCCCGCTAACTCATCTTCAACCATTACCCCAATTGTGACGGTCCGGTTGCCGGCCCGAGATCTTGATGGTTCGGAAGTTGTCCCCGCTCTACGATATAAGACATCAACTAACGCAGCTGGAGTCTGACGTGCTGATCATCAGTATAGATTTCAGTGCTTCTACTAATACCTAATTTACCTGTCACTACTACATAATGACATGAATGCTAGGGGATTGACCGACGTGGGGGACATGGTGTGGTTGAAGGTGGCGTTGGAAGTACGGAAAAGGTACTTTCGCCTCTCGTATCAAATCATGATAAGGATTTCCCTGGTCCCTTTTTTTTTTTTTTTCCTTTGTTCGCCACGCCGAAGTCAAAATTTTCCGACCAATGAACAGTGAGGGAAAGGAAATCAAGAATTAAAAATAGTCTAGATAGTCGAACAGATAAAAGAATGTTCCAACTAAGGAGGGTGAAGATGAAAAGTGCGATGCTCCATTTATACTTCAATTAAATTAGCCGTGTTACCACCGTGCAGCCTAGTTGCATGGATCGTCAATCTTAAGTCCTTATCAATTTGTCTGTTCAGATTCGTCACTTTGGTGCAGCACAGTTGCAGCATTCGTTAGCTTCATTCATATTAGTACGGGATAAACCCCTACGGCCGTTCTCAACGCCGAGACCACGTTCTGGCACCTACCATTTATTCATAAAGTACCATCTAGCTTGCTTCTTTTATGAATCCCTTTGTACTAGGAATGCATATACGAGTATAAATTATTAACAACCATTTCTTGAATCTGGTTTAGGACAAGGCTAGATCAATCATCAAAAGTAACACTTCAAAATCGAATAGAAGGCACTTATGCTAACAAGTTGGTAAGTCAATGCACTCTATTTGAGAGAGATCACAAGGCCTCGTTGATCACATCCTTTGAAATGACCATGACTCCACTTGTTGGTGTCCTTGTCAGTTTGTTAAGATAATGCATCGACTATGTAGATAAGCTACACGCTATCTTTGACGTCTGAGTTAAACTATATAGGTCTCCCAACGTTAACCCACCCCAGACTGTGGGGACAACCCCACATCAGGCTAGAGCTAGTTGACTTTCTTTGCCAGAGCAAAAGGGCAGGCTCTATATTGCACACACTCCTTCTTTCGATATCACGGAGACACCGTAGCCGTAGCCTGGCTGGTCTTTCAAACTAGAGATCTGAAAAAGAATTCGCGGTCTATAACATCACAACTACGCCATACTTTATGAAGAATAAGAGGAAACGCAGGGTCCGATTCATGGAATCGAGTTGATGCTCGATTTATGTAAACTTAACGGAACCGATGCAATATGGTCTTGATGTTAATCTCGATTACAACCTTTCATCGACCACAGACTAAGGCTGAAATTTATCATTCAGTTGCATGACAGTCTTGTAGCATCTACATACTTCGCAGCGTTGCTGTCGACATATAGATGTAGCTATACCACGATAGGATGGGCAGCTTATTAGCAATTTGGTACTCAGCAAACGAGTCGATCGGAAGTTGGTCCGGTATTATGCCACAAGATATCCAACAAACGACTGGAGTTCTTGATCATACTAGTAGTAGGTTTTCTCTAATTATTTGAAAGTTCTGATCAACCAGTATTTGGTCTCAGGGTTTGTATCGATACACTCAGTGCTAATAACCACTTGTTATATGTCTATACGAGAGTAATAATTTACATGGTAAAGAAGGAACCATAAAGTTTTTAAAAAGCTGCCTCCAACATTCCTCGCCCTCTTTTATACTAGTTCTTATCTATCGGACCGGTAAGGTGGGCCCTTCACGTACCCCGGCCCGGAGAGCACGTGCACGTGCAGAGATAACAATTTCTTATCAGAAACTTCATACCTCAGGCAGTAAGGTGTCGACATTAAGAAACTTTTAGTTTCCTAGCGGGAAGATGTCGGCGCTTGCAAAATTCCGTCCCGAGGAAAGAAAATGGAAATAATAATTTTGGACCAAGCTACCTGAAGCAGCTCACGGATTGCTCAACTCTGCTCCGAGTTCTGTCGTCCAAGGGAAAAAGGTATTTTTCTCAGAGGTCACTGACCTTGTTTTTGGACAATGGAGAACCAGTCGAACAGGGTCCATCGACCCTCGAAGGAGAAAAAGAAACATGATGGTATGTACTCTGGATAGGATTTGATTGCGATAGTCTATGCATTTAGATTCCCCCCCCCGGTGGCATACATTTACTGATGCGGAGATCGCGATTCTAGGCCCCAATCCAAAAGCCTTCGCGTTCTCGAATCCTGGAAAGGGAAATAAAGCTGGCGCGCGGTCGCATGATGTATGATCTCAATGCCGATTCCCGACAGTTCCAAGAACTAACGACCCTCGATGTAGATTAAAGAAAAGAGGCTGCATGTGCCGCTGGTGGATCGTGTGCCTGAAGAGGCGCCTCCCCTTGTCGTTGCAATTGTTGGACCGCCGGGTGTAAGTTTTCTACATGGAGATGCGGAGGATGAAAAGTGCCTGACAACATCCGGTTCGACTAGGTTGGAAAAACGACTCTTCTTAAGTCCTTGATCCGTCGCTACACGAAACAGACCCTCAGCACCCCCAAAGGACCCTTGACTGTGGTGACATCTAAGCGGCGCCGGCTCACTTTCCTGGAATGCCCCTCCGACTCACTTGCCAGTATGATCGATGTCGCGAAAATCGCCGATATTGTGCTTCTGATGATTGACGGCAACTATGGATTCGAGATGGAGACCATGGAGTTCCTGAACGTCTTGTCTTCCAGTGGTATGCCAGGAAATGTGTTCGGTATCTTAACCCACCTGGACCTTTTCAAGAAACAGAGCACCCTTAGAATGGCGAAGAAGCGCTTGAAGCATCGCTTCTGGAGCGAGCTTTACAATGGTGCTAAGCTCTTCTACCTTTCTGGTGTCGTCAACGGCCGGTATCCCGATCGCGAAATACACAACCTTTCTCGTTTCCTGTCGGTCATGAAGAACCCTAGACCGTTAGTGTGGCGCAATTCACACCCCTATGCGCTTGCAGATCGCTTTCTGGATATTACGCCGCCCACTCAGATCGAAGAGAATCCGAAGTGCGACCGGACAGTGGCTCTCTACGGTTATCTACGAGGCACAAACTTTTCAGCTCAGGGAACGCGAGTCCATGTACCTGGAGTGGGTGATTTAACTGTCTCCGGCATTGAGTCACTTCCAGACCCATGCCCCACACCCTTTATGGATCAACAAATGGCGAAAGCTTCCGGCAAGGCAAGCAAACGCAGGCTGGGGGAGAAGCAAAAGTTACTCTTCGCCCCTATGTCTGACGTTGGTGGTGTGTTGGTCGATAAAGACGCTGTGTATATTGATGTCAAGACGTCCAATTTCAACAAAGGAGATGACGAGTCGGAAGATGAAGATCGTGGCTTGGGTGAACAGCTCGTTGTTGGTCTTCAGGGTGAACGCAAACTCCTCGGTGAAGCTGATGGAGGTGTCCGTCTGTTCCGAGGCGGTGAGGCCATAGAGAAGGCCGACGATGAGGATGAGGGCGCAGGAAGGAAACACAGGAGGCATGCGAGGTTTATGGATGGAGAAGGAGGTCATGCGGAGGAAGATGAGGGCTTCGAGAGCGCCGAGGATGATGACGATGAGGAGGAACTGGAAGGCGAGAGTGACGAAGAAAACATCGACGTATCCGCACCTGCCGACTTCCAAACAACCTTTAGGGAGAAACAGGAGGGCAAAAGCCGCCATGATGAAGGTGACATCGCATTCGCCGACAGTGATTCTGATCTCGGGTCCATTTCGTCTGTTGAAGACCAGGTATTGGAAAGTGATGACGAAGAAGATCTTGATGAAGACGATGTGGATGAGGATGGCGCTGTTAGGTGGAAAGAGAGAATGCTCGACAACGCTAAAGCGCTCCATGCCAAAAGACCGAAGTATCGTGTCGCTGACCTGTCTCGCATGATGTACGATGAATCTATCACACCTCTTGGCGTGATTCGGAGATGGTCCGGCAAAGATGAAGAGGAAGATGCCAACGAGGAGATCGAAGAAGATGCCGACGACTTCTTCAAGAAGACCAACAACGAAAAGGAAGAGCAATCGGAATACCGTGCCATCCCCGAGTTCGACTATGAAGAGTTAGAGCGGAAATGGCGGGATGAAGAGATGATTGAATCTTTACGAAGCCGATTCACCACTGCTAGATTATCCGGCAATGGGGATGACGATGATTCGGATGTTGATGATGCCTTCGACGAAGACGATGAAGGTGATGGAGACTTCGAGGACCTGGAGACTGGCGAGGTGTTCAATGGTATCTCGGATGAGAAGGAGGAGCAGGAAAAGGACTCAGGCGATGAGGGATCCGTGGATCTCGAGGCAGAGCGCGAACGAAACGCCAAGAAGAAGGAAGAGCTAAGGTTGCGCTTTGAAGAGGAAGACCGTGAGGGTTTCGCCAATTCCAAGGATAATTCACGACAAGACGGTGGAGGCGATGAAGAGTTCGGTGAAGATGAATGGTACGATGCACAGAAGGCGAAGCTGCAGAAGCAGCTAGACATCAATCGGGCCGAATTTGATACTTTGGACCCAGCCTCAAGAGCTAGAGCTGAAGGTTTCAAGGCCGGAACCTATGCCCGTATCGTTCTGGAAAATGTACCTTGCGAATTTGCCACGAAATTCGATCCTCGCTTCCCTGTTATCGTCGGTGGACTCGCACCCACTGAAGACCGATTTGGATACGTGCAAATCCGGATTAAAAGACACCGTTGGCACAAGAAGATCTTGAAGAGCAACGATCCCTTGATCTTCTCTCTCGGATGGCGTCGCTTCCAGACCCTACCAATGTACAGCACATCCGACAACCGGACGCGTAACCGCATGCTTAAATACACACCAGAACACATGCACTGCTTTGGCACCTTCTATGGGCCACTCGTTGCACCAAACACCGGTTTCTGTTGCGTGCAATCATTCTCCAACAAGGCCCCAGGCTTCCGAATTGCGGCAACCGGAGTAGTGCTGAGCGTGGATGAACATACGGATATTGTGAAGAAGCTCAAGTTGACTGGTACACCTTACAAGATCTTCAAGAACACTGCCTTCATCAAGGATATGTTCAACTCTTCCCTTGAAATTGCCAAGTTTGAGGGTACTGCGATTCGAACCGTATCTGGCATCCGAGGTCAAGTCAAGCGAGCTTTGAGCAAGCCCGAAGGTTGCTTCCGTGCGACATTTGAAGATAAGATTCTTATGAGTGACATTGTCTTCTTACGCGCGTGGTATCCTATCAAACCGCATCGATTCTACAACCCGGTAACAAACTTGCTTGACCTGGAAGAAAACAGTGCAGGCGATAGTGGGTGGCAGGGAATGCGTCTCACCGGTGAAGTCCGCCGTGAGAAGGGCATCCCAACGCCCCTGCAGAAGGACTCCGCCTATCGTCCCATCGAACGACAGGAGCGTCACTTCAATCCCCTCCGCGTCCCACGACAGCTGGCTAAAGACCTTCCATTCAAATCCCAAATCACCAAGATGAAATCGCGCAAGGACCAGACTTATATGCAAAAGCGGGCTGTTGTCCTCGGAGGAGAGGAGAAGAAAGCACGAGACCTTATGCAAAAGCTGACCACTATGCGAAACGACAAGCAAGCTCGGCGTGCAGCGAAGCAGGAAGAGCGGAGACAAGTCTATCGCGCCAAGGTCGCCGACAGTTTGGAGAAGAAGGAAGCCCGGGAGAAACGGGAGCGCGACGATTACTGGCGGCGAGAGGGCAAGAAACGAAAGAATACAGACGAAGATGGAGGAGGTGGAGGCAAGAAGCGCAAGTGATCTTGAACATCTTGGCAGTTTTTTATCATTGCATGTATATTGGTTGGTAAAAGTTCGTTTTCTGGGATAATGCCCATATGTATCTATTGATATGCTGCATGGTGGATGGCGTTTAATTATATCTAACGATATATACCAAGGAATAGAATATGTCCTTTATTCTTCAGGGTTGGTGTCTTTTTTAGTGTTACTGAGGTGTTGATGCGTTGCCTCTTCTGGAGCCGATTCCTCCGCTGCCATGTTGCTTCTTCACGTGCGGCTGTTGATTTATACAATCCTACTACTGTACTTGACCTGCCTGGGCATGCAGGTGGAACATCCACGTGACCGCGCCGCGGAACGCGTCGACTGGAATAGAGTTGGCCACTCGAAGGTTAAACAAATACTACTTGAACTTGACAGCCCGAAGATCATCCAGCAGGTATGCTCCATGTCTTTCTGGCTTTAACTGCAATCCTCACCCGTGTCTCCTCACTTCAGTCGACCAAGTGTCGGATCTAAGTTACGTGTGGGGACGAAACGTGCTTGTCCCGGTTAGTCCTCCGCTACAAGTCACTCCTTGCGTTCAAAGACGGGACTCTAAATAGACATCCCTTGCAGCCAAGCGGAGTTCGGAGTTAAATCCCAATTGAGGCTATTTGCGCAGCACGATTGTTCTGTGAATGGTGTGTCAGAATAGGGTTGATAGCTCCGCATTGGACGTTCCCGCGCCAACACCCTTGACTCGGGCGGAGATTAGATTGTTCGGCGCTTGGAATTGAAGATCACCTCTATGGTTTGAGGATACCAGCCACAGCTAAGCAATTGAGTATCTTTGTCCAATTGCGAGACCTTCCATTCGTCGACATTGCTACAGTTGTATTTCGTCGGTCGTCGTGGACTGAACCCCCAAGGTTCCCAGTCTACACGGCCGCGTCCTGCGCGATTCGCTGCCCCTCAGTCAGGATGAGCGGATTGCCGCATTTACATGGGCGCCAACACGTGCAACATGCGCAGCCTTCTTCGCTGCAGTGTGATACCAAGCACCCTACGAACGAGCGTTTGGATTGGACCAATTCAGGGCAGCATAGCAATCATACTTCAGAGTCGCAGTCCTCAACTGTTCCTGCGAGTACGGCGGTCGAGCCTGCATCAGAATATACTCTCCATGCGGCTTCTAGCCGAGCTTCCAATCCAACCTCTCCAATAGGTGTCGTTTCCCATTCCCTAGAATTGTCGGGTGCAGGATATCCGACTACGCGGTCTCGCTCTTCCCCAGATAGATCACAAATGCGACCCAGATATTCCCAAATAACCATAGGCGATAGACCCGAGAGAAAACAAGTTGGATCCAAACGCTCTGTTTCTAATGTGCACAACAATGGTTCCACAGCAGTTCCAAAACCTCCAAGCCCTTCTGGGATAGCTGCGGGTCACAAGAGAACTGCAACTGGCTTTATCAAACCATCGGTGGAAGATCAACCTTATAGTTCAAGTACAATCGTTTCCGAGAGACGTCGGTCTAAAAGCATTAGCTCAGCTACGCATGGAAATAGAATTGCAGCGGTAACGAGACTCCGTAGGTTGTCTTTTCTGAACTTTATTGCTGATATGAGTGCAGTTGTCTGTACATCTTCGCACACGTCTGTCTTACGCTGCGGCTAAAATCGAGGCAAGCCGACGGTCACAGGGCTTCCAGAACAAGTTACCGTTGGATTTGCTTCATGGTGACCGTTCATCTTCAACTCCCGCTACCGACCCGTTCGAACGGATAGGGCGGGGAGGTGAAAGTCAAGAACTGATGGAGCCTCGCTCTCCTGGCGCGATTACTTCGCTGTCTGTACCAGATACACTACCAAAGTCCCATCTCTACTCACACAATGATCCTATGCGATCATCCCCAACGGCCAGATCGGAAAACTCGGCACCATCTTCGAAGAGTGATCCACGAAAATCGCACACCCCTCTTTCTTCATTACCCCGTTTTGCGAGACTCGCACCGCCTGCAGATATCATTCCAAGAAGTGACAGCAATAGTCGCAGACGCCCGAATCCAAACGACCCCTCTAGTCAGGCACAGAACTCCCCTTACCCCCGCCATCGACGACATCATTCTCAGCAAAGTATCAGTACAATAAAGCGAAACTCTAGCTCAGAAACGGTGTTGGTTCCTGAGACGCCTCCTCTCCGTCCATTGCCTTACAATGGCCTATCCAGTCAGCAAAGCCATTCACAAAACTCGTCCATGGAACAAGATGCGATAGAGACGCTACTCTTTATGTCCAGTCCGGGACCTTCGGGGTACTGCTCCAACTCACAGCCCTCCCGGAGCCAGCCGAATCATACACATAGCAGCATTACATCTACGCAGACTAAACACGGCGCACCTGGGAGCCAAGACACGCACATCTTTGTAAACACGGCTCCGCCTCCTGGTTATCGTGACTCAGGCGTGGGATTAGAAGCTCAGGCCGGTGACGAAATCGACCGTCTGTTGGATCAAATGGACAGTGATAGCGAGGATGAAAAGAATTACCCCTCCGGTCACTCAAACAGCATCAGCACTCGCTCAACGCCAAGTGGCGGCTCTTAAGGATGTAACCCTACGTTTCGACCCTGACGACCTACGCTTTTGACTTATCGAATTCGTGATCATCTCAGCGATGTTTAATTAGCCTCCGCTGTTTTTTGCACGATGGACGCCTAAATTTGCATAGTGCATAGTGCATTGATTGGGTATTCTTCGACATCACCATGGCGCATGCATGGATCGGGATTGCCATATGGCCGTTTGCCTTACGCAACGGTTTTCGGGGAATTTTGTCGTTTGTTTTTGGCTTCTAACAATCAATTATCAGGCAGCAGTAGCAGCTAAGTATGGCTACTGCAAATCGGGTCTGACTGATGGGTTCGGCAGTAATGCATGCTATCATACTGCAACTGGTGTACATTAAATATCTCCTGTAGCTCGGCTAATAGAGGGGAGTTTGTACAACCAGAACGTATTAAATATCTAACGATATTATCTTTTCTAATGGCTTAATTGACGGGACAGATTCGATATCAGACAGAGACAGAGAGAGAGAGAGAGAGAGACATAGATTTGTGAAGAGGAAAAGCATAACCAGAACCAGAACCACCTGACATCTACTTCCCAACCCGACAAAGCCCCCATTCATCCCACTCCTCACTCCCAACTCCTCTCCTCACAACAAACAGACTCTCAGGATCCCATTTCTTCTTGATCTTCAACAGGCGTTGATAGTTTTCTCCCCAGAACGAACTCTGAAACTCCGACTCATAAGCATTCGCCTCATTCATATAAGCGCCCATCTTATCGGGCCCCTCGACAGATCTCAGGATTGGTACCTCCACATCAGTAAGGTTCTTTTTCACGGCCTCCTGCTCAGCCAAAGTGGCATTCGGCTTCCAGCCGCTGGGGATAACGATATGGGTGATCGCTTTCCTCCATGCAGGGTTGAGCGCACTGTCTACCTTTCCTGCATTATTTGCTACAGCGCCACCAGCTACGAGGTGGCCGATGATGGCTGAGCCAGGGTCGACGCGGATGGAGCGCAGCGCGGAGGTTAACGTTCTGGAGCCATTGTTGGATGATAAGAGGTCTCTGGAGAAGAGCCTTGAGCCTAATAAGCTCACGCCACCTGCTTGGTCGGAGTTGCCGGTGAGGACGATGTTGGAAAAGAAGAAGCCGACGTTCGGGATTGGGTAGGAGGCGTACTGCGTATGTACACCCGTGGTACTGTTCAGTTTCGATATAAGCGGGGCATACAGATGATCAATCTGCGCCGTGTCTGTCCGATTGGGGAAGATGAAAACTTGGGTTAATGTCGAGACGCTGGTATTCTCTGTTAATTTAGTATCTGGAGCAATCCAGTAATATCCAGCACCTTTGGCGTCGTTTATCTTTGGAAGAGATGCGTGAAACGCCGTCACAGCATCCCAGTATTGAGGATTCCCCGCTGAAGTTGTGATATTGAGGTTGGCTAGGATGAGGGGTGCGTCATCGAATGTGCGGACTGTGACGCTCACGACGACCCCAAAGGTACCTCCGCCTCCGCCTCGGAGAGCCCAGAATAGGTCTTCGTTCTGGTATTCATTTGCTACGACTAGTTCTCCCTGCAGTGGTATGATCAGTATGGACTATCTTGAGCAGGGATGTGTTATCACTTACATTGGCCGTCACGATGGTAAACTCAAGGGCATTATCCGAAGCCATCCCCTTCCATGGTCCCAGGGCAGAATGTCCACCACCTTGAATATAACCCCCTGCAGCACCAACTGTGTGAGAAGACCCGGCAACAACTGTTCTATTCTTCGCGGCGACAGCAGTGTACAACTCCTGCAGACTGACACCGGCGGCTATCGTAACTGCTGGACCTTCGCCTTTACCCTGCGGGGCACCTGCAGGAGTAAATTTATCCACAATCTTGATATCCCTCATCCCGTTGGTAAGGATCTGCAGTGACTCTGGAGCCGAAGCACGACCCAGGAAATCATGCCCTGAGTTCTTGACCACGAGACGAAGGTTGTGTTGCTTTGCGAACTTCACCGTCTCCTGGATATCAAATGCTGATTTGGCGAGTGTTGAATAGAGGGAGATCTGGCCCTGCCCACATGGTATGTTTCGTGGACTTTCGATGTAGCATGTCTGATTATGCTCCGGCCAGGACTCCCAGTTTTCCCATTGTACGGCACCGGGCTGAGCCGCTCGCCAGGTCGAGTTTGTCCAGGACGCGGTGACTTCTTTACAGGCTGAACTATTCCGGTCACCTTCATGACAGACGGCTGCAATAGGTCGTACGGCCACCAGGTTTCCATTGATGGAACTGTTGAGAGAGTGCCATTCTTGTTCAGAGGGCCAGCAGCTCTGGTGCGGTTGGCAGCGACATGACGAGGAATTGCCATTAGCATACGCCAGCGGAATAAAGGGTAGTGCCCAAATCAATGACTTCATGATGCAGATTTAATCTGGAGATTTGCTGGGTAAAGAGAAAGGAGATCTGAATTGTTCTAGGAAAGTCAACTCCCATGAAAGCGACGCAGATGCCATATTTATAACTTCAATCAACATCCAAAATAAAACATAGAGCATCTTGCCTTTGCCCCAACACGACACCCTACGTTGTCAGACACATGGCTATGCCAGTCGTATTCGCTTGCTTAACTTTATGTTCGGGACAGCACACCAGACCCAAGGCAGTGTTTTCCTAATCAGGGCAGGTCGCTGGACCAGTCAGATCCCGAACCATTGGATCGGGCCTTGATCTGCAGCTATCCATGGTTCGTTGAACCATTTCGTGTATGCAAAGGAAACATGCATTGGCAGATTTGACGTCACGGGAAGCTCGTTGGGAAAGCTCGTATTCGGCAAACCTCAATTTGAACCCGTGGAGATATCACTAAGGTGGCTGTGGATGCTGAGCCTCTGGCACTAATACGACGGCCAGATGCAGTTATAGTTTCAAATATTCAATAGGTTCAAAGGGATATGCCGTTGACCATATAGGGAGAATTAAAATTTAAACGAATATAACCTTTTTCATAATGGTATTTATTGCCAACGCTAATCTCAGATAACTTTCTTTAAAAAAATTTTCTCCTACATTTAATCTCAAAATCAGTTCTTCCAATAAGAGATAATACTATATCTTGAAGGTTGGTGTTGAGGAAATATATCTCCATTCTATATATATTTAACAGAAACAACATCCTAGTTTACAACTCAATTCACCACTAATATTCCAACTGAGGGACGAGTCTCCTGCAAGGCAGAGGCAGCTAGTTAGCATGTAGACAAAAGCACCTATAACAGTATCGAAGTCATACTCTATTGATATACACAAATGAGGCTTGAATATATTCCAAAGGATGAACTGTCAGACCACTTGATCGTATCCAAAGTTGGTCTAGTGGTCCTTGCAGCTTATGGATGCATATACCTGCATTTGATATATGCAGTGAACTCTTCTATGGACCTACTGATGATCTGATCTTCAGAACAGATATGCAAAAGTGTCTGAGCATCGGGCGTTCGACGCCATATTGCTATGAGCTGAGACAAGCCGGAGGAAGAAAAGAGAGACAAATTTTAATGATCAATCGTCTGGGCTTGTGAGGTGATAGTTTCAGATCAACATGACAGGCTCTTTGGCCATCCTTTATCCCCTAGGGTTATAGTATTTGTGATATATCTATATATCTATGTTCGCATATCTACATGCAATACCTTGAAGCATCAACACTCTCCCACTCACTTACTCACTGCCAATTCTGCGGAAGAATCTCAATAATATACCCATCCTGAACACAAAATTAGCCCATTATCCTCAAAAACCCAAACCTCCCAAAAGTTCCACACCAAGAAGGGAAAACAACAATAACAAGAAGAAGAAGAAGAAGAAGAAGAAGAAGAAGAAGAAGAAGAAGAAGAAGAAGAAGAAGAAAACTCACCGGATCAGCAACATAAGCAATCTGATCAAAAAACACCTTATAATTGGGATGAATCTCGCCGACCCCCACACCCCTCTTTTCCTCCCAGTCACTCAAGGGAATACTCTCCCTAGTCGTAACTCCCAACTCCTTAACAACCTTGACGCCCTGGGCCCTCAACCTCTCGATAGTAGCCTTCACATCGGGAACCGTGAATCCCAGATGCCCGAACCCCAGATTGGGCGGCGCGTTCCCGTTCGTCATCTCCACACCGCCCTTCTCCACGGGCTTCTCCGTCCCATGGATATGGAACAGCTCCAGCAACCCCAGCGTCTGGGTGAGGTTGGCCGGGTCGGAAACCTTCGCCGCCCACGCGGATAGGTCGGCGCGGTCTTCGGCGCTGGACGGGAAGCCAAGGTAGTACATTGTAAAGGGGCCGGTATTCATGGTGAAGACGGTGCGCATGCCCAAGAGGGTGATGTAGAAGTGGAGAGAGCGTTGCGGGTCTCGGATGCGGAGCATCGAGTGGTTTAGTTTTGTCCCGATTGTTGGGTCATTTGGTGGGAGGGGAGGGTCGATGTTGTGGCCGCCTGCCAGGAAGGCGCCTTCTTCAAAGGGGGTGGGCTGGGGGCTCATGGTTTTGGATTTTTTTGGTTTTCTTGGGTGTTTGTTTTAGGGGCGATGTGGTGGGGTTTGAGTTTGTGTAGAGAGAGGGAAGAAAGATCCAATATAAATAAATATACAAGTCTAGTGAATAGTTACCGAGGACGGACTAAGAAAGGCTCACTCCACCTCAGGTGATTAACGATAATGTGGACTGAACATCCCACGTTCACTCTTCAGATAGGCACAAACTGTATAGGCAACACAAGGGTCTTGATTTTATTCAAGAACCCGAAGACATAGGCTTTTTTTGTTCTTTACCATGTAGGACACTGAGTCGTCGTTATATCCATCTAAGCATACAGGAAAAGAAAGTGTCATGTCTACTGTACCCCCCAGCTATCGTCATCCTCTGCCACGTCGTAGTCAACTTCGTGATTTCCGTCTCTCCGCCCGGCCGATGGATCAGGTGGGAGGGGTGTACTTGTGGTCTCCATCACAGTATCCTCATCGGATCCGGTTTTGGTATCCATTCCAGAGCCTGATGTCGTAGGCGCCAAACTGATTGGAGGGTTGGGTACCCAAGTGAGCTGCACTTCGCCGACAGATGGTATCTGCCATGGTCCAAACATGAATTTCTCTGCAATGTACCGCTCTTTGAACGCGACTATCACGGAGTCCGATTGCTCCGGGTTAGGTTGAATAGACTCATATTCGCCAACGCCCTAGGGTTCAATGCCATTAGCCATAGCTCGATATAGATAAGCAAAGATAAGGAGAGGAAATCACTCACGATGAGAAACTGCCTCAATGCTTCGTCCTTCTCAGAGTTTAACTCAACGCCCGAAACGGCAACTCTCCTGGGTCGATTATCCAGACGAAGCACACCCCCCCGACCACGGGCCATTCCTCCGCGACCGCGATATCCTCCACGATAATTAGGATCGTATCCACGGCCTCGGGGCGCATAACCGCCTCGCCCCAGGGATCCACGGCCCCGACCGCGATACGAGGGCGCACCAGAATCAGCGCCATTGGGATCGATTCCAAGGGTCTTGGCTTCGGCTTCAAGAGCTGCCAATTGTGCGCGCAGCTGCTTCGTTTGATCGCTGACATTCTCCTGGGGTGAGGGACCGCTCTCTCCATCTGAGGGTGTAGCACCGTTGCTGACATCGTTCCCGCCAAGCTTTTGCATCAGTCTTTCCTTCTCTTCCTGCTGTTTCTTCAAGAGTTCCTCGCGCTGCTTCTCCAGTGCCTGTTTGGCTTCCTCTGTCTCCTTGCGCTTCTGCATCTTCTCTTCGTAGGCTTTTTGCGCTGCTTCTTGCTGCCTCTCAAACTCCTCCTGGTTGAACGGCTCGACCTCACCGGCCCCTTGCCGATGATCACCATTCTTATCTGCCTTCGCCTTATGCCAGTAAACTTTGACGAATCGGTTATCGAAAATCACCTTGGGGCTAGACCATGCGCGCTTGGCAGATGCGTGGCTATCATATGTGATCAATGCAAGCTTCTTGTGAGGCTGTAGAGAGAGCTCGACGATGTCGCCATACTGAGAGAAGAACTCCCTCACCGATGCTTCATCGAGTTTGTCATCCGGGATTTGCTCAACAACAATGGTGGTGATAGAAGTATCCTCGTTAGGACCTGCCGCGGAGTACTCGGATCGACGTCCTCGTCCTCCAAATCCGCCCCTATCCCCACCACGGCCGCGGCCGCGGCCTCTGTCGCTGCCACGATGTGGAGTGTCAGTGTTACGTCTCTGGAAGTCCGTCACGATATTGGATGATTTCGGGTCATATTCTGCAATGCATCGTTAGCAACACCAGCGGCAAGTCAGTAAGGGTGTTTGTCCTACCATCCTCCTTTGGAAGACTAGGTGTGTCATGTTGATACGGACAGGCAGCGCCCAGATAGCATATGCCCTGTGTATCCCAGAAGGGACATCGTTCTGAGCTCTTTGGCGCCATTGGATCCTGTGGCTGACCAGCGCCGCCACCAGGAGCTGGCATGGGCATAGGAGGCATGCCGGGCATCTGTGGAAACCCCATACTCTGGAGGGCCATCATCGCCGCCATCGGGTCATTCTGATCAAATGAAGGGAAGGTTGGAGGCATCACAGGGAATCCACCTGCAGGAGGGGCGGCGTATTGGCCGGGAGCTGCACGGCTATCGCGCCCCATCCAATCGCCTCTTCCGCCACCCGGGCCGCGTCGCGGCGTCTTGAAGTTCCTATTATGCGGAGCCTCTTCGCGCTCTTGATCTGCCTGGAACCCTTCATGGTAGCTACGCTTGCGTCCATAGCTCGACGAGTCGGTCTGTGACTGAGGCGTGTTGCCCATAGGAGGCCCGTAAGGACCCCTAGAAGGGCCGGATGGGGGGTTAAAGGGGGATTGTTGCTGAGATCCTGATCCCGGTGCATTGATGTCATTGGAAATCTGCGGCTGGCTCAGCGGATGCGAGCTTGCGGGAGGAGCGGTTTGTTTCGGCGCAAAGGTAGCGAAAAGCTCATCGACAAATGGCACCGTATCTATATTTCAGCGACTCAGTTAGAAAACTATCCAAACAAAGTTAATCGCATTTTCACGAACGCTCTCTTAGGAAATCTTCCAATCCCTCCACAGACGCTTTCCGGATTTCTTCATCTGGAGCGTCGGCTCTGATAAGCGCGAGCACATAGTCTGCAAGTACATCGGCATCGGCATCGGATCTACCATAGTCACCAAGATTCGTGTATATTAGTTTCATGAAGCTTCAAAGAAAGGTACAGAGAAGGAACAACGGTGGAATGAGCTCCGGCGATGATAAAAAAGTCTTACATGTCTTCCAGTTTCCGTACCACCCAAGTCTTCACCTCTGCGGCTTCACTTTCTGAGAACTTCATGGTGCCACACAGCTATGTGATATTAACCCCACAATTTTTCCTGACTGTCGTCGCCTTTTGCAGTCCTGCGTAGTAGCCAAGAATAATTGAAGGCCCGAGCGAGTCCGGCTGAAGCTGAGTTACGGTGCCCGGTAATAATAACAATTCAGATAGGGCAAGTGAAGAACAGCGGGCTATGGCGCTGTATAAATCAAACAGACCAAGGTATGCTCAGGCCATGATGTAGAGGATAGAGTGAGGGGACATAGTAAGAGCTTTGCGAACAGAAGAAGCCGGGGAAACGCGAGGCGACGCGGATGACGGAAAGGATCACGTGATACTTCCTCACATTTCTGTATGACACTATGATGCAGAAGAGGTGTGGCTTTGTTACTACTAGTAGTAGTAAATATTGGCTTTGCTACATGAAGGGACAGCTAGCTACAGGGCGCTGCAATGATCCTACAGGGCTGTGATGGAGAGATTTGAACTTTGGAATTACAATAGAAATTTTTAAGTCCAACCAGTGAAATCTGAAGTGAACTATGTAAAAACCCTCGCATTCGTTAACGTAACAATAGATAATGAAAAGCCATAGCAGATGCACTCCTGGATTCTACTTCTAGTGGTCGAAAATCCACATACGACATTCAGCTGTGGCGCCTTATTTTAAATTTTTGGATGTGTGGCCCTAGCATAGACATTGTATTGTGTTCGTCGATCTCATAAACATAGGATTGCAATCAACGGGTTTACAGCTTGTCGTAGTACTGTGCAGAACAGTTAGCATCCTGGCTTCGAAATGTGGGTGGAATGAAGGACTTACGTTCTCGTATCCAGGAACCTGCTCCTTGAGACCCTTGCGCTTACGCATCTCATTAACAATCTGACCAGGCTTAGTGGTGGTGTCAAGAGGAGAACCACCAGGAAGAACCTCCCAGTGGTCGAAGACGGACTGAGGGAAGGCCTGACCACCGGTGGCCGCACGGAGGTCGGTGGGGAAACCGAAGGACTCATTGACGGGAAGGTAGGCTTTGACGGTGAACAGAGGGGTACCGGGTCTCTGCTCCTCGGAGTAAATGACACCACGACGACGGGTAAGGACACCGTAGATACTACCCATAGCCTGCTCAGGAACCTGGATTTCAACGTTGAAGATGGGCTCCATGATACTGGGGTCTGCAAGCATCTGAGCGGCGTAGAGGACACGACGAGCAGTGGGGATGATCTGACCACCACCACGGTGGATAGCATCAGCGTGAAGAGTAACATCGAGGATGTTGAAGCGGACAGCGCGCATGGGCTCTTCAGCAATAGGACCCTCACGAGTAGCCCACTGGAAACCGGAGACGAAGGAATCCTTGATTTCGTTAAGGTACTGGACAGCCTTGGTCTGGTCAACCAGCAAGTTGGCACCGGTGGTGTCGGGACCGAAGGTCCAGATCTTACGGGCATCGGTGACATCCCAGCCATATTCATCAGCCATGAGACGGGCACGAGTCTTGAAATCATCACGGGGGTTGATCTTGCCGGCCTCAATGGCAAGAGCACAGTCTTCCTCAATTGGCTCGGCAGTGACATAGAGACGGTTGTGCTTGTTGGGAGACTTGGAGAGGGCAGTCATGCTGGACTTGCCCGCGACAGACTCACGGTAAGAGACGACAGGGTCGGAAATCTTGAGGGGAACACCGGCGTGATCATTCTGGAGATCGTTCAAGCAAATCTCAAGATGCAACTCACCGGCACCAGCAACGACGTGCTCTCCAGACTCGTTAATCATGGTCAGAACACAAGGATCGGACTTGGACAGACGCTTAAGACCCTCGACAAGCTTAGGAAGATCGGCGGCGTTCTTGACCTCAACGGAACGCTGCACGACGGGAGAGATGGAGAACTTCATGACCTTGAGGTTGTGAGCGGTCTCGGAGGTGGTGAGGGTACCAGACTTCAGCAAGAACTGGTCAACACCAACCAGACCAACGATGTTACCGCAGGGAACGTCGTCAATGGCTTCAGTCTTACCGCCCATCATCAGAACAGTACGCTGGATCTTCTTGATGAACAGGTCCTCCTTCTTGCCAGGGGTGTAGTTAGGACCCTGGATACGGACCTGGAGACCAGACCTGACGATACCCGAGTAGACACGGCCGAAAGCATAGAAACGACCCTTATCGGAAGTGGGCACCATCTTGGAGACGTAGAGCATCAGGGGAGCAGGGTCCTCCTTGGTACCAGCCTTGCACTCCTTGATGGCGTTGAAGCACTCGTCATCATGAGGACCCTCGTACAGAGTCTCAGCACGGTACTTCTGGGCAGTAACGGGAGAAGGCAGGTGGATACAGATCATTTCCAACATAGCATCGGCGGCAGGCAAGAACTTGCGCATGATAGTCCTGAGGAGCTGCTTGCCCTCAAGCTCTTTCTCATCGCTAGTAAGCTTGATCTCAAGCTTCTCGACGAGAGTGGTGATTTGCTCCCTCTTGTTGTTGTTGACCGCGTCGAAGATCTTGTAGATGGGGTCCAAGCAGAATTGGACGAAAGCACGATCCAGAGGCTTGCCATCGGCATCAGTGCCCTTGTTAGTCCACTTCTTGGTCTTGGGGTTGAAGTAGCTGTCACCCCACAGACGCTCAAGCATCTTCTTACGGTCAACACCAAACTTCTTAGCGTACCTGACGGCGAACTGGCGGACAGTGAAACCCCAGCCCTGGAGACCGGATCCGAAAGCAACGGTACCCTTCTGGGCGTGAACCATGACATCACCAAGAACCTTGTCTTCGTAGGTAGCGATGGTGACATTGACGGACTCAATGATACGGCAGAAGTTCTGGTAAAGATCCTCCTTGCTGACCTGCAGCTCAAGTATAGAACGGTCAACCTTGTTGATGATCAGAACGGGCTTGATACGCTCAGCAATGGCCTGGCGAAGGACAGTCTCGGTCTGTACACAGGAACCGTCGATAGAGTCGACGACGACCAGGGCACCGTCGGTGACACGGAGAGCGGCAGTAACCTCAGCGGAGAAGTCAACGTGACCGGGAGAGTCGATCAAGTTGATCAAGAACTCGTTGCCATCGTGACCTTGGGTGATCTCCTTGAGATCCTCAGGGTCATCAAACTTGGAGTAAAGAGTGATAGCAGTCGACTTGATAGTGATACCACGCTCCTGCTCATCGGCACGGGTATCCATGAAACGGGCCTCACCAGCCTTGGAAGCGGCGATAACACCAGCACGCTGAACCAGGGAGTCAGACAGAGTGGACTTTCCGTGATCGACTAAATGCCAAAAAGGTTCCACATTAGTACAGACCCGTTGCGCAAATGTACGCTATCAAATATGGACCTACCGTGAGCAATGACGGACATGTTACGAATGTTCTTCGGTTTGTCCATCAGGGACCGAATCTATGCATTGTTAGCTTTGCTATTCTTCTCCCGCCTTTCCTCGACCTCTTGGGTCCAAGGCGACTGGATATCGCTTTATGGGGACAGCAAAACCAACCTCTTCGATTGTGAAGCTATTGACCTCATAGTTAGCAAGTCATTCAAATAATTTTAGGCGACATCCGTCATACGAGAGTCGCTCGTGGGAAGTGAGATACGTACTTAACCATGTTGGCGGTTTTTTAATCGTGAAAAGCCTTAAGAGGCGGGGTTGTATAGTAAAGTGCAAAAACAAAGAAACGACACACAGAGGATCAGGATCGAGGGCTAACTCGACCTGAGTATTATAGGACAGAAGGGCCTATGTGTGTTGCTCCTAACAAAAAGGGAGACAGTGGGCTTCACAGAGGAAGGTGAAGAGAGGGAAAGGAAGAGGACGGTGGAAGAGGGGAAAAGTGGGAGAAGAAAGCGAGAGTGGGGACTTTTGCAGTGGGAATTTTTTTTCCCTGCTAAAAAAATCTGGGATGTGCGTTTTTTCTTGGTAATCTTTTCTGCCGTTTAGTGGCTTTTCTGACTTCCACCCCTCATTTCCTTACCAAAATTTACCTCCTCTAACAGCTCGTTACAGTCACTCCCCCGTCATTAAGTGAAAGGTCAAAAGCTACCATGCAATAGTCTCCAGATGCTCATGGGTCCGATGTATTTCTCAGCAACCATCTGAGAGCTTTACATTCTTGTCCAGAGGGCTTACTTCCTTGCAAATGTTCACCCATGGTTTAAGAATTAAATGGCTCTTTCTCTTGAGTCACAACTAACAATATACTGTCTTTGTCAGCCGTATTCAATGATTATTTTGTTACTTCCCGACTCAGAGAGGTGAATAGGAAGCTCGGACAAAGCTCTGTGGCGTTCAAAGTCAGTCCTGATATCATCGTATTATGATTCATGTCTGTCCTCCAATTACGTATGGCGTACCAAGTCGTGCCCTCAGGTAATTACGCGGGACGGAAACATCCACTAAGCAAAGCAAAGAGGGAAAAAAAAAAAAAAAAGTAAATTCGATTTCAAAATCTATGGATGGTTGGGCCATGACTTGCAGAGCAGGTGATTGGCCAACAACCCGAACCTACCCCTCTGCCCTCACCGCCCACTCTTTTAGAGGGCGGAGTTAGGATGGATTTAACCGTCACCAATTGCAGAAGGACCTAAGCTGAGTTTTAGTACCAGACTCTCCGGACTCGGGAGTATGCCTCCATTAGTAGATTATAATACGGAGTTGACCGGAATATGAAACCATACCAAACCCGTATCTCATTCAACTTTCGCATTCCACCGCAGGTGAAGGAACAACACATGGGCAACATCACTCCACCTGTAGTGGCGGGGTTCTGTGGCCTATAGACCGTGGGACTAACGGCGCTATGATATCACATCTTCTTTACCAATTTGAAATTAACATTAACATTACTTTCCCACTATGTACTATGCATGTGAGTGTATGTGCATGTATGTGCATGTATGTATATCTATGTATGAATGTATGATTATGTACTGTACAAGCAGAACCTAGGTATGGATATCAAGTAGCAACCAAATCTAATCAATCAATACACGGGAGCATGCATGACGCAGGCCGTTCGTTAACTGATAGTATAAAGAACACGAGGAGGTCACGACGATCCTAGGATCTTCCCGTATGCATCCTCCACTTCTTTTGCAATTTCTAGTAATGTCACAATAATGATTTGATGAGTGACATTGGGCAGCTTATCGCGCTGAAGCCCAATCCACTCCAACGGTGGGGTGGCCTCACCCATATCGCGGAGCTGCGGCGTCTCGATTACCGGCGGCTCCAGCGCAACATACGTGTACTTCGACTGTGGGACGTTTACAACCGCTGTGATCTTTTCCTGTTGTTGATCCTTCTTGTCACCGCCACCTTCATTCAACCCGCCCGTAATGCGCACCGCGGATGGCGGCAGGGGCTTTCCGAGCCTCGAGGTCAATGCCCGGGAATGGGACTCCCACATATCTCGGATAAAACTAATGCGCGAGTAGTTCCATCCCACATCGACTTTCCCTTCGAACATGCTGCGAAAGATATAGTCGATTTGCTGGGTGCCGGGATTTTGCCAGGTTTCCATTTGCGCCACGAGCCGAGGAACCTTTAGTATTGTGCCGCCGCTGGATGCCAACACACGGTTGGCGATCTCACCGAGAAGAAGCTCCTCAACTTCCGTAGGACCAGGCCGCACAATACCGGACAGTGCGACACGTAACTGGCCAAGTGTGAGTCCCAGCGCACTGTGTATTTTACCTTCCTGTAGCGATACATCAAAGCGAGCCTGCGCATCGTGTGCATCTAGCCTAAGCACATGGTTATCGAAGAAGGAGCTTGGAAAAACACCTATATTGACAGATTTGATAGTGACTGCAACACCTGTCTGCAAAGATATTGGTGCCTTTTCCTCCTTGTCGTCTGCATCTTTGGTCACATCCTTCGCTGGTAAATCAGCTTTACCAGCGAAAACTGATGACCTTCGACGCATGTATCTTTCGACCTCACGCAATGCAGCTTCGTATGACGCTTGTTTGTCTTGTACTAGCCGTTGCCAGGCTTGATACAATGCAACAGTCTGTGATGCGGTCAAACTTGTACAGAAAACTTGCACCTGGTCGCCCTCCAAAATGCTGAAGAGCCGCTGGTGTCCGTTACCCGACGCACTGCAGACATTGTACATCAAGAAGTCGAACATTGTGATATGTGCGATAATGAAAGGCTGGTAATCAAAAGAGACCTTTGCTTGGAACAGGTTGAAGGATATCGAAGCCTGAATGAGTGGTGTCTTATTATGAAAATTGTCATCCGGCCATTGAATTGATGTCTGCACTTTGAACGTCTGGAGCTCGATCAGTCCGCTCATACGGCCTTTGCTTTCAATTCCTGTGGCCTTGAAGCCAACACAGAGGGTCTGTTCTCGGTCAGACGTCTTCTTTGACGACAACCATAGATCGTTGATGGCAAACTGGGCTTTCCCAAGGGAGGAACCTAGATCAAGCTGGATTTCCAGCTTCTCAATTGCTATTGTTGTATTCCAAGGGAATGCCGATGCCGATGCCACCTGTTGGTATCGCTGGACGATATATGCTTGTGTCTCGGCAGACTGTGGCGGGAAGGCTGGCTTCGTTTCGACATTGTCAGCTGCCGGCAGCCATATTTCCCGGAAGAGAAGAAAATCCTGAACTTGTTTGGCATTGAGAGCCACCTGCATCGGGCTTATCCTAAGAACAGCCGATATACCTTTTGAATTGCCGAGATGCTTGCTATTCATAAGAGACATGACCATCGAATTCACTTCAAAACTCGCGGTCGATTCATTGGAGTACACATGCTTCACCGAAGCTTCTAGGGAATTGAAGGCCACGAGAAGTGCTAAGAATCGCCCATAGTCATCAGATTGTACCGTATTGATCGTCACATAGACCGTATCAAAACTCGCGGTAGCTGCAACTCTAGCGATAGGTTGACAGCTCAAGCTGAACTCCTGCTTGCAGATTAGGAGGCCAACGTTCAATTTACACCTCCCTAGGATGGAGTCCTTAGCATCCATGTCGAGAGGAGCCTCCTGCATTAATTTCTGCGGCTGTAGCATCATTGCGCCAGACGGTCTTCTCTGCTTTTCTTGGCCTCCCATGACTTCTTTGACGGTATCAGTCATTTGCTTTAGTAATGGGACAAGGCTTGGATATAGGACGTTTGTAGAAGCATCGATCTTCAACTCTGCATTAAGCCGTGGATCATCTTGGCCATTGTCCTCGAACTGCACTTTCAAGGCCACCCCAGGGGCCCTGAATGTTGCAGTGGCTACCGCATCCCCTTGAATGTATTGACCGTATTTTGCCTCAGACAGTCTGCTTCCTTTTAGAGTAGCTGTCAGCAGAGCCTGCTGGTCACCAGTATGTCTCCCTTGCAGAGACACAATTGCACCAGCGAAATCCACATCTACTAGCACGGAGCGGAACCGTTTGTTACCGAAAAGTGCACGGGGTTTGGAGTTGTCATCAGATGACTTCGACACCAGCGTAGAATTAGCCTCACGGATGATTCGGCTGGAAGCCGCAATGGAGTCTCTTATCATGCTTCCGGGCAGTATAAAATCAGACGTGGCTCGTATATCAAGAGATTTTCCAGCCGCTTGAAAGGCCAGTCGAACTTCTTGGCCTGCTGAAGAATATGCCACATTGAAGACCAGCTCGGGTAATAAAGCCGAATTAAGAGAACGCTTTCGCCTATTACCTGAATATGGTACCATCTGCAGCTGCATATCTTCGATACGTAGCTTTGCAGTATTGGTTCTCTTGTTGGATAGCTCCAGGCGCCTGATAGAGAAAACCAAATCATCAGGTTTGCGCCCAGATATAGGCAGGGGAACGGTAGACATGTTCCAGCCAACCTGAATGAAGTTCAGGTCTAACGAAAACATAGCGCTGAACAGGTCCTCCGAACGGGAGTCATCATTGACCTGTATGCTCGGAACTCTCGGTACTGCATTGCCTCGTCTTCGTAATTTCTTGAAACGCCTGACCTCATGAGAAAGGTCCAAAGTTTTGATGCGCTCTTGAAGGTGGGTTGCCATATCAACTACTAGCGCAGCAGTCTCAGGGAATAGTTCGACGTCGAATCGTTTACTGCTGAAATGGAATACACGTCTGGCCCCACCGTTCTCGCGTAACATCGAGGTGCCCTGGAGCTTAGCGTCGATGGTGAAATTACAGTATGAGCGAGTGATTGTAGCCTCTTGTTTTCGTAGATCGAAGCTGATATTAGACGTGTCGACGTGGAATTCTGGATATTCCATGGGTTGCCCTTGTTCCAGACCATTGTTGAGGCGCATGCGTATCATTCCAAGGCTGATGTCCATGTCTGCTGAATACGTTTTCCCATTAATAGCAGGAGCACTGGCGTGAATCTTCGTGCCTGCCATTGTCATGCGCGCCTTATACAGTATGCTGTGATCATTGGAGGGTTCCTTTTGCCGTGGGGGTCCTTTATCAAGAGCAAGAGCATCGTTAAGGTGCAGTTGTAGAGTTTCCACATTTTGTTTGAGATCAGACATTAAGTGAGAGAACTCCGGTTTTGTTAGGGCTCCCAGAAGGCTTCGTACAGCGCTGGCCTCTAGTTGGATGAGTTCAATCGTAACATCAACCTCCATATCCATACGGACCGGCGACATGTTCGCAACAACTCGACCGTTGATAGGTGGTATTTCTAACACCGATAGAGGATGCCATCCATTGCCGCTGTTGGACAGGAAAGTGTGCAAATTCCTTTTTAAGTCGAAATCTACTTCGACTTTGGACCCCATCGTTGGTACCATAGATGTGCGTGCCACTTCGCCAGTAATAACGTATGTTAAGGACGGCAGGATACAGAAACTGAGTCGGTAATCACCTAAAAACATAGCGATATGGAATTTGTTGCAGACCGACTTCCTTGCCTCTGAAATACCCTCACTGGATTGGTGAGCTGAGGGGTTTATGTTGCTGGCAAGCCGATGAATATACCGAACTTCATCTTCTATCAGGCGGTCCGCAATGTGCGCGAGGCTCAGCGGGTCTTCTATCATATCATATCGGAGTCTCTTGCTTGAACCAGCAATTTTCCACTCATTTTCCAGCTCTCCTTCTTTTTCCTTGGAGACACGCGAACAATACAAATGCGGGTCACCAACCTTCCATGACATAATTACTTTAGAGAGATCCGATAACTCGGAAGAGCACGCTTGTGCACTTATTAGTGCACTCAGACAGTCCGGACCCCCTATGCCGTCTAGTTTCTGAACAACTGAGCTTCTCAAGCCCCGCCCGGTGAACGCAAGTTTTGCATTGATGCCATCAAGATTTATAGATCCAATATCAGCGCCAAGCACTACTTGCAGCTCGTTGGACTCCTTTGGCTCGGTACACGGACCTTGGGTTGGTGTAGTAGATTCCAAGGTGACTGTAGACATTGTCCGCAACAATCCTTCTACTAGCTCGAGAATCTCCCATCGCAGCCGAAGACTAATAGAAGAGCAGTAAGACTGCACAATCGTCAGGTTCATTGGCCTTGCCTCATGTGGGTTGATAGATAAAGCTGTCGACAGATCCTCAATCACGAAATCACTTTCCTTTGGTCCAGGATCAATAGAGAAGCGAAATAATTTCACAGTGGAAGAGAAGAATGCTGGTTCTGGTGCACTCTCCATCTTTGGTACGAAGGAACTCCATACTCTTTGCATGACGTAACTCTTCCCAACATGCGCCAGATCCCAAGCCCGCCATTCGTCAAAGCTGGAGAGAACAGTAGTTCTGGCGTCCGGCGGTAATGAAAGGTCATTGTTAAGACATCTTGATGCCAAGTCTTCCTTCTGGTGAGAGGGCAGATTATTGTATACGTTGCGAATCCGAGATATTATCTTCCAAGAATCGTGCTGTCGCAAGTGTGTAGGCGCAACTCTGAGCACATATGAGATCCGTGTAAGGAACGCGGGATCAGGTATGTTCGCAGCTGGCTGAGTAAGGAAATGAATAAGGAGACGTAGACGTTTGTCCTCCAGGGATGAACTATGCTGTAGAGAAGAGGTAACTGAGTCGAACATCGTGGTTGTACGACGAACTAAATAGGCAAGATGCTCCACTGATTTTGTGAAAGTGACTGTGTCGAAAGCTCGAGCCTGGAAATTCGATTTTATCGTAGGTTTTGTCACAAGCCAAAAGTTCATGTCACCAAAGAGACAAGTAAGTTCAGCCCTTTCTTGATATGCGTCAGCTCGAGTACCCTCGACGGATACTGAAAGACTCTCGGCGGCAGCATGAACGGTGGAGCTTTCTCTTATTCCCGCAAGAAGATCGCCTTGCTCTCTCTCAACTTTTGTCCTGATTTCTGTCTTCAAATGGGTGATCTCAACCCTATACTCATCCCGGAAACCTGATTCGTATTTGCTGGGAGCTTCGGATAAGTTTACCAGCTTCACAAGTATGATCGGGGTTCGTATTGCAACGCTTGTCGATCTTTTTGGGCTTTTCAGTGACTTTTCGTAGCCTACAATGTCGGATATAACATCTTTCTGGAGTGAATCAATGATATTAGTTGGGTGTCTAGCTTGCAGCCTTTCTATCAAGGTTGATAATATGAAAAGAAAGTCGGGAGTACAATTGCCTCGGACACCATTGGGTAGTACGATTGCGAAGTTAGTCTGGGTTGTCTTATCTTCTGCAAAAGGCGAGAACTGAGGATCGAACTTTGTCGCGAATAGGTCGTCTGGGCGGACATCATCACTGGGGCTGTGACGTGAGGGCAATTGTGAGGTATCCAGGCTGACTTTATATAATGAGAAATCAGGCATGTCCCAAGGGTTTGACGAGTTCGGAAGAATGGTGGATGGACTCTTCTGTTCTTCAGCTGAATGGTTATCCTGAGGGAGCCCTGGCGCTACCTGAAACGAGGTTTGGCGCTGCCCTTCTTCCGATGCCGAGCTTGAGGTGTAGATCGTGCTATGGCCTCCTCTTCTGCGTCCACGTCGCACACTTGACGCATCTGAGGAGACAAGGAAACCTTCAGAGCTTGCGTAGCTGCTGTCACCCGAGAAAACACTTCTCTTTGCCGATATATGTCTCATATCCAAGTGTTTAATAACAGGTTCGGGCATAGCAGGTATAGCGATAGTCGGTAGCGTTAAGTCATCATCATTAAGGTGTGTTGATTCAGGATCGACTTCCTCCCAGTCAAATAACAGCCATGGGGTTCTCTGTGTCCTTTGATCATGTAATTTGATGTGCTCTTGCTGTAATCTTCGACTTTCCACAATGTCATTCCTTCGCTGAGCCATCCTCAAGTTGATCGTTGTCTCAAAGAGCGCTAAAGGGGCCACCTCAGGTCGGGTTGGACCTTCCAGTCGACCAACGAGTTCATGATCCACTGCAGCGATAACGAGCTCGGGGACGAGAAGGGTCATCCGTTTTGAAAACCTAGCATTTGTCCAGTCGTTAAATTTCGTTGTAACCGGCCCAGAGCTCAAAACCAAAGCCGTTTTGTCTAGGAGCACAGAGACATGAATCATACTGATCTTCGCTCTAAGAAACGTAACATCGTGGAGAGCAATGGGAAACAATGGAGGCAGAGCATTCTCTTCATTATCGAAAGAGAAGTCAAAACTCTTCAATGCTGGTCCTAAACAGGATATGAACTCCGTCGAGCATTCTCCGATAACTCGACCTAGCTTGAAATCCCAGTTGCAGACATACGTTGGCTCGGCAGGAGGGAGTCCAAACAAGCGATGGCCATGAACAGAAACTCCATCGATGAAAAGCTGGGAGTCAGATATTCTAGGGGTCTTATCTGCGAGGTGGGACTCCAACCCGACTTTCAAAGGAGCAATTGAAAACTCCAAATCCATGTAGTAATTAGTAAATCGCAAGTCGATCTCCAAGGAAGCTGCAGTGAGTCTTAGACACTTCAGGCGGTCATATATATTTTCTGGGAGCAGAGCACAGGGACTATCCACAGTGACATGCACGATAACATCTAGATCATTCGACTTCCTATTAGGGTTGATTCCGTTATGGGACTCTGAAGGTTCCTTCGCATAGGCGAGATCCTGGAACTCTTCGAGAGTCTTGAAATGCATTTCTTCCCCGAAGTAATTCTCCTTGATTGTCATAAATGAACGAATCAAGAATCCAAACAAGTAAAGCTTAGGGGATAGACCCTCAATATTGAGGTATAAAGTGTCCGTCAACTCAGATGATGTGGAAAGGTAATAGCTGTAAGACCCGTCAATGGACATGGTCTCTAGCGTGGCAGCCGATTTATCTTGCAAGAAAGTGTGAAGGGTATCCCACAACGGGCTCAAATAATCTATACCAGCATCTTGAAGACAGACATTGAAGCTCACAGTATTCTGCTCTGGTTTATATCTGTTCAAAGGGATCAGAACATCAGAGGTCAATCTCTCGCCCTTGATCACCAGTAGACGGTTGTCATCCAAATCAGAGGGATTACTGATGATGTTCATGTCATTGACATTCACAAACAAACGTAGGTTTACAAAAGAAAGGCTCAGCTTGTAGATGAACGGCACGAATGTATAGTATTCTGCTGGAGGGCCGGATGCCCAATCGGCAACAAGGTCCGTCAAGAGAAAGATGTGGTCTCGTAAAAGAAACAACTCCATATCACGGCTTTCGACATCAAACTTCCACGTACGAAGATCATTCCAGGTAAGAGGGACTGAAAGATCACATTTAATAAGCTGCTGAGGACATTGCCATAGCACTGCATGATTGACGCTTGATGACATTGTTGAGTCTCGAAGGTCTAGAACAAGTTGATTGGCATAGCCAAGTTTAGACGCCACCATATCCATACAGTAATTTATGGTCGAGTCGCCAGTCACGCGGAGAGACAGCCACCCAAAAGGGCGAATCTCGGGGCCAACATGACCCTTATCACTCTCTGCAGCCCTAGACTGTCGCCTTCGCTGTTGCTTCTTCATTTTCGATGCGCCTCGTATTGCATCAGCGCGACCTTTCCACTGCCAGTCTTTGGAAGGTTCCCTTGTTGGAATACGCAGTGTTAGTTCATCGGTGGTCTCCACTCGCAGTTTAAACACAGAATTCTGCCTCAAATCGCCCGTGGTTAAAGGCTCCGCCGGTTGGGAGTTTCGGTAGGAATTGGGGAAGAAGATGTTTTGCAAGCCAACACGTTCGCGATCAGCCCACGGCCCGTAATTAATAGTGCCTCCTTCTATTTTGACGTCAATGCCCCATTCTGGGGGTGGCGCACCATTGATATCCGGGGTTCCTTCGAAGGGAGGGGACTCCTGCGGCAATTCTTGGGGCTTAACACACCCAGGAATGTCCCAATAGTATGCTATAGTCATACTAGGGCTATCCAAGACTGTAGAAAATCTGGCATATTCGACAGAGTTCCATTCTTCGTGATCATCCTGGTTTGTGTCGTCTAAGTATCGCGAAAGACCAACCCAGCGGACATCATGGCGAACATCGCCTTGGGTTCTCGGTCCCGCGTCTTCGTGCTTTTCGGAAACATGAAAGGATTCCACAGATGTCTGAAAGTATGGAATGAGGTCGCGGATACTATGCCATACTCTGCGCTTTTGGAATTGATAGTTGAAGATCGTATCCCTTTTGCGCTTTGTCCCGGGCTGGTCTTCCTGCGTGGAACTTAGTCCCCTCGCCGCAGAAAGCTGGTTCTGTTTGAAGTCTGGGTTTGGGCGCATCTGAACAACAGGGTGTATGAATTCAAAAGAGAATGATTGCCGATAAAGATCAAATGGCCCAGCATCGCATACTTCGATTAATCCAGTCGCACCGTCAAAGGTTGTTGTCAGGACGGACCTGGTATTCTCATTACCGATCACGATAGCCCCTTTGTCACACTCTAGTTTCACTGGCAGAAGTCGAAGCAGCCTCGAAAGCCCATCACCCAATTCTTGACCAGATCCTTCAACAATGTGAGAACCAATTGTTTCCCCACCAGTTCTACTACGTCCCGGAGTGTTGCGTGCCTGAGGAGATGTCGGAGGGGCGGATTCGCTGACAGATGAATTCCTAATTGAATTATCTTTCAGCTCAGCATCCAAAGAGCTGCTTCCAGGGTACTGTGGCTTAGTGAAGGTCGCTGGCTGTCCTTGGGGGTTGAAGCCTGCCAGGATACCGTCATAGGCCGGTGTCCTATTGTATATGAACCACTCGAGCCCGTAAAACTTGGCAGTAATACGACAAGGAAGTGAATCTGCGCCTTTCAATCCTCCTTGCTCCTTTATTCCACTCTCTCCGGCGCCATCATTATCCCCGTCCGCGACTGATCGCACATCATCCCTCGTTTCGTATCCATTGGGTTTCAAGTCGTATAAAGATGTCCTCCTCACCGATCGCCTCCAATAACGCCATGTTATAAAGCCCCCGTGAACAAATATAGTCTCATTCACACCGTGGTATCGGACACCCTTGAAGAAGATCCGTCCCCCAAGCAAAGAAATCTGAAGTGCATTGATATCGACGTACGCGCGATAATAATGCCATGTGTAGGCGCGAATCCCGTACGAGAGAAGGGTTGCAAAGAGGCGATTAAAGTAAAGTAAGAAGAACAGCACTCTATCTATAATCAGCGACCTGCACTGGACTGCGCGGAGTTCGATGACCTTACAGTATGCAGGAAACGACGAGTTCAAGGAAGAAGAACCTACACGGCCGTAAGCTACCTGTATACATACATTTTACTGACACTTACACATTAAAGCTTGGATCTGGTGTCAAGCCGAAGGTTAACAAACTCGTGTTAGCCATCTTGCAATTTCCCAAGATGTCTGATGGCCGCGAACATGGCGGCGCGGGACGATCAACCTTCTTTCAAGTTGAGTGTAGAAAGAGATGCCAGTGATATATTATACTGGTATGCTTATACTATGTCCCATAGAGGGACACCAACGAGCAGAAGAAAATATACAACGCAAAAGCGTCAATTCATTTCAACTAACTTTTTAGGGGACAGCGGAGGTCGCGATAACGGAGTAAATCTAAATGCGGCGAGGCGCATATGCTTACGTCCTTAGGCGGTGTCACGGGCCCGCTGTAACTGAAACCAGTAGCTCCAATGATACTAGTAATATCAGCTTGGGCGATGATCCTCCTAGTCTACACAACTTTTTCACAACGGCCTTCTTTCCGGTCATGCGAGTGCTTTCCTTGTCTATGGAGGAGCTCTAGGCGGCTTTTGACAATCTTCAGTTCATTGGACGGGGTATGATTTGTCTTTGTTCTTTTCGCTGCATTTGTTAAGGTGCGGAATGCTTTACCGGTGGACGCAAACCTAAAAGTGCACGCGGTCGAGAACCGCGAGTCTTGTTGACACTAGTCACCATGTCATCCTCAGGAGGTACAGGCTCTAGCCTAGCGAAAGCTGTGGTGATCGTTTCTGGTGTCTCGTCCCTGGTGGCTTCACTTTTGTCGCTTCTGTGAGAGCACACCCTTCCCCGCACTATTCAACACCCGATACGATATAGCTTTTGCTAACATCTATTTGTCTTATCTCAAAAGGTCGATATGGCTACAAACGTACGGGCACCAATCTACTTTGGTCATCTCAACCTTGCACTGATGTATAACGATAAGGAAAAACTATCGAAAACCCCTCCTCCAACGATATGTCGTTCGTATACTTCTGATGTCAGTTTTTGCTCAGTTGTGGAGTATCAGCGTTGAACTAAACATATCAGGGTTCCAATATATGCGGCTGCTTCCTGGACAAGCATCGTATCGCTGAAGGCGTCTCTTTGGTTGGACCCTGTTCGCGATGTTTATGAGGTATAAATAGCGAGCTAGGCAGCTATGAACATTGCTGACGAGTCACATTCAGGCCTTTACGATCTACACCTTCTTCCAGTTACTCATCAATTTTCTCGGAGGCGAGCGAGCCTTGATCATTATGACCCACGGCCGTCCTCCCATACAACATGCCTGGCCACTAAACCATTTCCTGCCAAAACTCGATATCTCCGATCCGCACACCTTCCTGGCCGTCAAGCGCGGTATCCTCCAGTATACATGGCTAAAGCCAATCCTAGCTATCGTTTCTATCGTTATGAAAGCCACGGATAGCTATCAAGAGGGCTACTTGGGGTTAACCTCTGGTTACCTCTGGACAGGGATTGTGTATAATGTTAGCGTCACGATAAGTTTGTACTCGCTGGCGATGTTTTGGGTTTGCCTTCACAACGACCTAGCGCCATTCCGCCCCGTGCCAAAGTTCCTTTGTGTCAAACTCATTATCTTTGCCTCCTACTGGCAGGGTTTCTTCTTGTCCATCTTGCAGTGGCTCGGAGCTCTATCCAACGGTGTCGCGGGGTACACTCCTGACAACCTCGCCGCTGCAATTCAGGACTCCTTGATATGCTTTGAAATGCCTATATTTGCGATTACTCATTGGTATGCATTCTCTTGGCATGATTATGCTGACCCAACCATCTCGTCCGCGCGGCTGCCAGTAGTATATGCGCTGCGGGATGCCTTTGGCATCAGAGACCTAATCGAAGACACAAAGATGACGTTGCGAGGCGAGAATTATGCGTACAGGTTATTCGACTCTGGAGACCACATTATGGCCCATGCTGAGTCCGAGTCTCGGGTCAGACGGATGATGCACGGCATGCGATACGAGCGCGGAGGGAAGGGCAAGTACTGGATTCCTACGCCGGGTGAGATCAACAGTCGCACACCGTTACTTGGTGGCACCGAATCTAGTAGACGGGGCAGTATCGTGGACCGGTTCCGCTCGCCCAGTGATGTTGAGGAGTCGACACTAGACGAGGGAGATGAGCAGCTGTTCACCAAGGCTCGAGCGCTCGAGTTTGGTGACTGGAATGTATGTAAACCAGTTCTGTATAATGAAACTTCACGCGCTAACTTTGCCCAGTATCCAGTGATAACGGCAAATCAGGCGCCACAGGATCAGCGTTTAGCTACTCCATTCAGCTATCAAAATTCACAAACTGAAGTAGTGAAGAAGTCCCGCAAGCACCGAAAAGTACGTGAGCCCAGCAGCGGAGAAACGCAACCAAAGGGCGATAGCACACCGAGCAAACCACGAAGGCAGCGTACTGAAAACCGGGCTCCTCTTCAGCGAGGCCCGAGCTCTTCTACTTCTCAAAACTCACACCGCAGTCAATTAGTTGATCTTGTAGTCGAAGATCGAGAAGCCGAAGAGAAAGAACGAGTTGAGCACGAAAGAACGACTGGCTCCGCGTTGCTAGAGCCAGAACATCGATATTTCCAGTAAGTGCTTGTTATTTGGAACCGCAGTCCTAAGGCTAATGTAACTCTAATTTCCAGGACTCCATCCGGCCACCCCTTGAGCGAACAGTCTGAGATCACTCATAATGAGGGTCCTGGTTCCCCCAGTGAACGCGTAAGGCAACCGGCCGAAAGAGACGAGGGCACGGACAATGATGACCCAAAGACACCAGGGTGGTCGTATGAAGGGCTGGAGGAGGAGAACGTTTGGGGTCAATAAAAAGAGTTATTCTCACTACATATACGCATGGTTTGGGTTGGTTTATGTTTTACTTCCAATTTTCGGTGTATAGGTTTATTTTCTTCTCTAGTTACTTTTTTTTTTTTTTTTAAAAATTTTTTTTTTTTCTGCTTCTATCCCATCTTGTTTTGTTTTCGGGAACATAGGGGACGTTTTCTTTTTGGTGCCTGGTGAGGTCATATATAAAGCACGAAACCAGATCCAAAGTAAATTTAGGGTACAGACATCAACCACTGACAATGCACTGCTCCTTCGGCAAGAGACCGGGTGAGACAGGTCAACTGCTTTGTGTGATAACATGGCACCATCCTGTCCAATGTTCGCACCAAGTGGAATTACACGTCATTTGGGGATTTAATAGCTGTGACTGGCGAAACGTGTTTCGACAGATGCACCTTCAATGCAAAAGCTCGATGGGGCAAATGGCAGTGCGTCCTTAGGCGCCCACTCTGGGTGCCTCAGGGAAGCCAATAGTTTAGCGGCGTGATAACCAACAAATCACATGCAGGTCAGCACGCCGCAGATCGACCGCTTCACACACGTTGTCGAGGAGGGGATCCAATCAAAGCAACGTGACGAGTCAGGAGACAATCCGTTTGGTCTGGTACCTCTTTGTTCTCGTTTCTTTTGGTCTTATCAACCCAACTCATCATACTTTGACCGTCGCCCACAATGCATAAGCACAAAGGGACAGACCGAATCCGATTCGCTTCTGGCCCATATTCTTACCACCGCGGGGTTGGTCACAAGGGTTTCAGTGCTGCTTTATGCCAGCCACCTATGAGCTGATTGTTGTCCACCCGTTTGGGGTCCCTTTTTACTTGGGGCTTTTTGCCCGGTGTGCCCTGCCTTTCCCTCCTGCATCTGATTCTTCCCCTTCTCTTTTTTTCCGTACGGTTGGGACCCCACTGGATGATGGACCAACGACTTGGAAGCGCTGGCAGCCATGAAGCGGGCAATTGAGCAGGCAGGGTCGGTATGCGCTGGCTGGATCTCGTCCTGCTTGTTCGTCTGCCCGGGCTCTGGGGGCGATGACGAAAGCTTCCACCACCAACAGTCTCTGAAGCGAAAGAGTATGTATACCTGCTTAACATATCGTCTCCCGCAAAGCTAAAGGAAGTTGCTGAGCCTTCTCATATCTTAGCGGTCGAGCGAGAGTTGAAAGTATGTCATACGCAGCCTCATCTCGTTCCCCCGATGAAGCTCGCCGTCGACAGTGCTCTCCCCAGGCCAAGTCCACCAGCCTGGGCATCGTCTACTCCATCACTGGAGCTGAATAGTAGGCTGCCATCGCAAAGGTCCAAACGAGCGTCTTTTACTTCTAAGAGAAAGTCAACTGCTCCTTTACGAATTAGTGGGCCCTCTGAATTCAGAACAGTCTCTAGTTTCGCAACTTCTCCTAGGGGATTCCATCCTGACAGTTTTATTCTCCCTTCTCCTGGACAGTTTCGACCCCTTGAGCTGAGCTTCGAAGCCTCCGGCAATGGACTACCAGATCTTCCTGAGTTTGATACATTTCAAGTAGAAGAAGAATGCCCAGTACTTACACGGCCTCCGCGCACTCTGAGAACCTCCGCTGATATCTCCCGTATATCCCGCGCCAAATCCCACCGACTTTCTTCTTTTCAATTAGTGCGGAAACCTGTCGGCTCTGGATCCCGGCGATCCTCTCTAGCTACTATGGAACAGCTCATGGATAAAAGAGTTCCTTTCAGTAACCCCTTGGTCCCTCACTTTTCTGCTCATTCACAAGCAGATAATGATCTGACTGCAAGTCAGCATCACTCTGGTTACACTAGTCTGGACTCAGTCAATGGTTGCGGATTGGTAGTGTCGAAGCCGGAGCCTCCCAAAGAGCCACAAGCAAGCAGAGTCACTATACCCCCTAGAACTCCTACCAACGCCAGCACCAACCTGCAGGACAGGCCATTACCCCCTATCCCAGTGGAGGATTCTCCTTCATCAAGCACCACCCAACGACCCCCAACAACACCGACGGACACCCGACCACCCACCACTCCTTCCGAGAATCGTAACCCTAACTCAGCAACAACAACACCCACCCGATCTGGCCGCGTCACCCAATGGCTCTTCCAGTCAAGCAACAAGGTCTCCTCCTTCTCTTCCTCCGTATCCCCTTGGAAGTCCACCTTCAACGACAAAAACCCCTTCCGCATCCGCTCTCGTACCCTCAGTGGTTCTACTATCACCTCAAGTCTGACCAGCCTAACAGGGGGCTTCAAGACTACCCCATCTTTATCCAGCAATACTACAGCAGTCACCCCAGCTCGTCCACACCACATTGATCCCCGTCTGGAAAAGGAGTTGGACGTGCCTATGTCTTTTTCTCGTCCCTATATACCTAAACAAGTTGATGAGCCCACCATCTACCCAACTATCTTTGAAGGTCAACAACAGCATCAGCATCCGCAGAACGGATATGATGAATTCGATCACAATTACTACACGACGTATCGTCGGTCCGCGGTCGGTTTAGCTTTCTAGGGGGATTGAGGCGAGAGACCTATTTGTGTATATAGCTTTCACTTTTACGCCGTCTTGACTAATCCTTTTCTGGTAATAGTTCGTCTGCTTATTATTATATACCTTATTGTTTTTGATATTTGACTATGGATCACTCGTCTCTTTCCGTTTCAATTTATTTCTCTACCTATTCAATCTTGGCCAGTAGAACAGACGACAAAACATTTTTCGCATGGATGTTACAAAAGAACACTTCGTAGTCTGAAGGATTCATCAATTGCACCAAAAGAAGCCGCGAAGTTGGTCTATCCGAAACAGTCTGCTTCCTAAATGTGACTACGTATCGCCATGATTCATTTGCCTCCCTTGGCAACAGTAAGCCATATGTTATAATCAGCCTAGGGCCCTCGAGTACTACCTGCGCAGCATTTCTATTACAATATCGATTACCACATAGTAACCCGCATAGAGAAGGACAACAAAGGCGCATCGGCCCGAGGATTTTCCTCCCAGCCGGCCAAGGCGGTCAGGTGATTTATGCCGAAATATCTGCTTTTCTAGCGATATCGCTGACTCTCCCATCCTCCTAGCACGACAGCTCCATATCACTTCCTTCACCTGCAATTGCTCGCTTTTTCTTAAAACCTCCCCCTTCACAATGTTCCAGCGCACCATCCTCAGACAGGCTCAAGCCGCCCGCTCTCTCCTTTCCGTTCGTTCGACGTCCTCAGCACCATCGGCGCTCCGCCGCACGTCACAATTCCAGCCGCAATCCCTCCGTCCACTTGCTCCTTTGCCTGGCTTGCGCAACTATTCCACAGAGAACAAGGCCGAAGAGGGCAAGCAGGAGAAGAATGAAAATGCTGAATCGGAGTCCCAGAACCCCGAGGATGCCGTTCGTAAGGAGCTTGAAAAGAAGGAGAAGGAGGTTGTTGATTTGAAGGTAAGCTATCAGTGATGCTCCTCATGTCTTGATTATTCCGAACTATTTTAGTTTATATACAAACCATTCTTCACATACCTAACCTGCCACGCAACAGGACAAGTATGTCCGCTCAGTCGCAGACTTCCTCAACCTCCAGGAGCGCACCAAGCGTGATATGGACAACGCGCGCAACTTTGCTATCCAGCGCTTTGCCGTTGATCTTCTCGAGAGCATTGACAACTTCGACCGTGCCCTCCTGGCTGTGCCCGAGGCCAAGCTCAACTCCAACGAGCCTGAACACAAGGACATTAAGGATCTCGTCTCCGGCCTGAAGATGACTCAGAACATTTTGATGAACGCCCTCAAGAAGCACGGTCTGGAGAGGTTCGACCCAAGCGAGCCTGCTGAAGACGGCAAGACCCAGAAGTTCGACCCCAACATGCACGAGGCTACATTCATGGCCAAGGCTGAAGGCAAGGAGAACGGTGATATCATGTACACTCAGAGCAAGGGCTTCAGGCTGAACGGACGTGTCTTGAGAGTAAGCACAACCCCCGCCCTGTCATAGTAACCTCCATTGGTTCGCGATATTAACGAGACACCTTCCCAGGCTGCCAAGGTCGGCGTTGTCAAGAACGACTAAATCAATCATCCATACAAGCATGTTGACCTCAATCTCCCCTAAACGCAACTTTACCATCTCTCTTATTCTACTTGTATAATATACCAAATACCTTTCATGGCGAGGAATAAACAATTGCGGTAATACCAACCGTGATACCACGTCTTTTCTCTATGAATGCATGTGTATGATACACCCGCTATTTGTTTGCATACGATTGGAAGGCTTACGATCTGCCCTCTTTTCGTGTTTCTTTTTTTTTTTCTTTTTTTGTCCGTGTTCATGTCTGGCGTTTGAAACTCACCTCTCACCTCTCACTATATTCACATTATACCTGTATAATACATGCAATGATCTGGTCTTGTCATTCTACAAAAAAAGGGTGGTCTGATTGGCAATTTTTTTTTTTTTTGATATGAGCTACTTGCACGGCATTGGATCCTGGGTTTTCCTTTCCTTTCCTTTCCTTGCTTGTTTGTTGGGCTGGGTCGTTTCGGTAACGGGTCATGACGATCTACATTAATAGATGATTGACTGGATCGGTCATTACTATCATTCTGTCTATCTTTCTTTTCCTTCGTCCTTGGGTAAATTTAGACGGCGTTGTAGACTTCGGTATGAACTATGCGCAAGAGTACTAGGTATATCCCCGTTTCCTCGGCGGCGGCGATAGAAAGCACAGCAGTTGTCTCAATTAACTATAGTTCAAGTCTTTTTGCTCTAGATCAATAATATCGTGGATGATCTTTTATGTTCTTCCTGCAGACATAATACATATATACTTGATTCTTGAAACACTCTTACAGCTATACCCAAGGGCGTTCTCATAAAAAATGAGGTGATGCTTTTTGATTCAATTCTGATAAGTACAGTGCTAAACTGATCTTATATCTACCTGTTCACGCAGTCTATCAAAGGGCACGTACCAATATATTATGTATATCCAAGCCACAAGAGTCCGACCAGCTAAACTGCTCGATCCAAATCATTTTAGCCTTCACAAGAATATCATACTCAACACCCCTACATTCCATTACTTAATCCAAGTAGGCAATAAGCTAACATCAAACTTGAAGTCGAGATAGACATTTTATTTTCGAGATACTGTACAGATAAAGACACACTGGGGACCAATCATAAAATAGCCGTGGGATATTATACAAGGATCCATACCACATGACACACATTCCGATTAAATCGATTACCTCAACTGAACGCCCAGCAAGCCAACGAGCTTCTCCCTCACCTGATCATGGAGATCATTAGTCTCTTCGTTCGTCAACGTGCGCTCCAGACTGCGGTAATTGATCCGGTAGCACATGCTCTTCTTGCCCGTCTTCGGGTGCGTAAATTCATCAATAAGGCGGACGTCTTCGACCAGATCGCCTCCAACGCCACGGACGATCTCCATGATATCGTTTTCGTGGACTGGCACCGCGCCGCCGGCAGCGCTACCGCCGCTAGCGGCCGCAGAAGGAAGCCAGAAGGCGACATCCTTGTAACAGGCCGGGTGTTTGGAGAAGGGCTCGAAGCGGGAGATATGGCCCGCCTTGAACTGGGAGAGGAAGCGCTCATCGCGGGACCAGAAGAGTCGGATGTCTGGGATGTTGAAGAGGAGCATGGCGATGCGCTCGAGGCCAAGACCAAAGGCCCATCCGATGCGATTGGGCACGTCGGAGTTGATTAGCAGCTCTTGCTTGATGACACCGCAGCCTAGGATCTCGAGCCAGTCGCCTTGCCAGAAGACTTCGAGTTCCCAGGACGGACTGGTGAAGGGGAAATAAGCTTCCACCCAGCGGACCTTTAGTGGTTCCTGTTCGCTGGAGTCGTTGCCGTTGGCGGCGGCGGCGGCTTTGCTAGCTTCGGTGAAGATCTTGATCACCATTCGCTCGAGAGAGCGTTTGAGGTGCGCCGCGATAGCCTCGACCTCCTCCGCGCTGTGGTGCTCTGCCTGGAGTGGGTTGCGCTCTGCATGGATGGTGGGGTTCGGGTCTTCGACGGCGACGTCGTGAGTCGGAATGCGGTTGAGATCATCCGTGATCCTGGCGGCCGTTCCCTTCGCAGCCTTCAATGGCTCAATGTCGGGCCGTTTCCACAACATGGCACCCTCCATTTGATGGAAAACGGGGTAGTGGCTGCGATCAATAGCATCTCGGCGATAGACGTCCGCGACAACGGTGTACCCAACCTCTTCGGGACGTGATTTCTCATTTCGGTTGATCTGTTGGAAGTATGCTTGCTGGTGCGCGCTGGTATGTGTTCTCAACACGGTCTTCTCATTGACATAGTAGGTATCCGTGCGGCTACGACCGGGATGATCCAGCGGGAAACCGAGAACATCAAAATTTTGCGCGGTCGTAACAACGGGACTCTTCTCGTGGTAGTTTCCGTACACGGGACCCGGAAACTGACTTTCGATTAGCTTCCGGGTGATGGCGAGGGGGTGGTTTTCGTCGAGGTAGAGTCGTCTTCCGACATGGGAGAGGATCGTATCGGGAGTGTTGGTCCATTGGTCTGTGGGGTAAGATTTATCTTCAATTGTTAAAGATGGCTTCTTGATGGAGACCCGAGGACCCGGCTTCTGATTCGGGTTCGTAGATTCTTGGGTACTCAGAGCTGGTGTTGAGCTCCAGGTTCTGCGGAGAGGGTCCGAGATGTGCGAGACATGCGAGAGCGGAATGCGCACGTTCCTGCCGATTGCCCATCTGCTGCTGGTGGCGCGCAGCGCCCTGCCTGTGGCCAAGAGGCGCATGTCGATACAAAATTTACCCCGAATGGAGCGGTGTAACTAATTCCCAGGGTGGAAGCAGGTGAAGTCGGATGACTTACTCCGATGCGGAATCAATACAAAACATTCCGGGTCGGGGAAATTAGTCGCCGACGGGATTGTACAATACTATATAAGCAGTCCATGCACGACTGGGCGTGTCAATACACTTCAAGATGTGCCTACTCGTATTTGGAATGGTTACGCCTATTGGGGGCGAGACAGAAAAAGGAGAGCTGGCTAAATTGGGAATTAATGACAAACCCATACACCACGAAATGCCTTCCAGTCATCCACTAACCCGAGAACCAGAATATAAACACCCAATAAACCATCCTCAGTTAAGGTTCCAAAAGAAGTCACAGAAAGTACAGAAATGGTCAAGCAACGCGTCTATCGCTTTTGCCTCGCTTTCGCCAGTCAATGCAGAAGAGGAAATGAGAGAAGCGATGACCTAGTACCGCAGTTGTAGACGCCAGGCACCAAAGACCCAACAGTGGAGACGCTCAAGCAGACCAGACCAGACCGAGCATAAGTAGTAACCTGTGACGCCAATCCCAAATGAGCGTAGAGACGGACTAACGCCATGAAATACAATGTGAAATATGTGAGAGAAGGAAAGCCAGGCTAATGCGGATAGTCGTAACGGAAATGCTGCGACTATATAAGATCTCAGCTTCGTTGTCAGATCCCTTCGATGGTATCGGACCCTGAGTTATCTGATCCGTCGGCAAGCATAGAGTGGGTCGGTAGCTTTCGTCCTGATCCATACACCATCTCCATTAACTTGGCTTTCTGCTTCTCCCGGACAGATCGAAGGTAATCATAGCTGCCCTCTAATCCACGAATCTGGCCTTCAATTACAGCCTCAACCGGCCCTAGCATCCGACCATTACTCCGACCACCACTTGAATCAATAGCACCAGCGAAGCTCACGGAATCGTTGCGTCGAACGAGTGGACTGACAAGCTTTCGTCGTAGAGTTTCCAGGTTGACCTTAAGAGTAAGCAGCCGGCCGCGGTGGTCCATGAGGAGATGCTTGTTAGCGACCGTCCGGCTACGGACATTAGCCAGTAGCCGCTTGTTCTTCTCATACTTCCGCACAACGGCTGCGTCGGGCCCAAGAACACGGGTCCAAAGAGAGCTGAGCATTTCACCTTCAGCCCGCTCCTGGGCATCTGACTCACGCACAACCGTACGTTGAATATTGAGAAACTGGCGATCAATAGATTCAAATAGCGCGAAGAGCGCTGTTGAGTGTGTCAGCTCACTGTTAATAGACTCTTCAAGTACCGATAGGAACTCAGTGAAGGTCCGTGTGAGGGTAGAGCGTGTACGCTGAGCCGATGTCTGACCGAACAACGCAGTTACAACGTGGCCAAAGGTGGTCGGAGTATTTAGCTCGCCACCAACACCATCCCCATCCGGGACGGTGACACGTTCTAGCGTGCCGAGTCGCGCCAAAAGATCGTGCAAATTGTCAAGCATGATAGAAGGTAGCGTGCTGGGCGGTTGAGACGATAATGTCTCCAGCTCCCGTTTGGCCCAATCCATGACGAGCAAGATTGAGTCGACGTCCGAGTCCACATTGGCGAAAAAGCGCGTCAACTCCAAGGACAGCGACTTCAGGGACTCGGACAACTCATCCAGCTGGCGCACTATAATCGGCGCGCTGGTCATGTTGGTACCGCGAACAGACTCACTCAGATCCCAGACAGCAACACCGGTCTCCTGCAACGTCCCTATCTGTTGTACGCCATTCTCTGAATAGTATATCAGAGGCTCAAAAGACCGCGCAAAGCCCGACAGTTTCACCAGGTCTGGGATTGCTTGCGGTACACTGGGTAAGAACAAGGCGCGCATGAATGCTATGGATAGTAGGGCTACCAGAATGGAAATGGTGGTGTTGGATTTGGAGCTAGTGACCTTATCGAATTTGGATCGCAAGTAACTAAAAAATGCGACAAAGGGTTCGCGCTGCTGAACTTCTGCGCGCACAGCGAACCGGATATCTTGAGAAAGGCCCACTCGTTAGTATCCCGCGCCAGCATGCTGGACAGGGTTCAAACCGAGATAAAGCCTACAATTGCTTAGATTATTCTCCGAGCCAAACTCCAGTCCTTCCGGGGCGGGGCTGGTCTCCGGTGCTCGGCGTGGACTGGGTGACCGAGCCTTGTGGGGTGAGTCTGGGTCTATCGGCAGCGGAACATTGGCAGCGATCGTAAGGTCCCCTGTATCAGTAGAATTACTCCTTTTACCGGTCATGGGGTCCTCGAGAGCGTCTTCGTACTGCGGGCTAGGTTCTCGCGATTGCGACGGACTTAGCCCCACAGTGGGCTTTAGTCCTAATCGATCTTGATCGACCTTGCGCAAATAGGGTTGATGGCGGTACCACCCACTGCCTTGGACGTAGTCATACCTCCGGAACCCTGGGGGTGACCAGCGCTCCCCATTGGGAGTCATGTCATCTTCTTCCACGTCGGATTCCTCTGACCGAAATCCTGAATGTTGTGACGGTAGACCAAACACCGGAGAACGGTGAGCATTACTTGGGTTCTCAAAGTCCTCGAGCGACGCATCCAATGAGGGATGCTCGTCAAAGACGTTATCCAGCTCATCCAACATGGTGGACGGCGTTGCGCACAACCTATACGACGTTATTAAAGCCACTTCAATCGTTGCGACGCTGAAGCGACGACTTTGAGTGGACGAGACAGTTCCTAGATTGTCGCGGTAAGGTGATAGCTTGTGGAGGGGTTAGTCGCAAGCGCACTAAGACGAGGTGGGATCGGTCTTATGCGCTGTCGCGATAAGAGGCGGGGAGAAGGTAAACAGGTGGTAGGTAGGAAAAGACAAGAAACGAAGAGTAGTCTGCAGGTCAGAACGAAGGTACAGGAATGGGCAGACGCAAGACATGGGAATGCAAAAGGGAGCAGATGCCAGCGGACGAGGCCTTGATGCCTGAGGACGGAGCGACCGACTAACTGGGTTGCGACAAGTCACGCTCGCTTTCCCGGGGTAGGTAGTAGATACGGAGTACTTGCAGCAGTTACAGAGGCGCTTGCATTAGAAACGTTGTGGCACAGTGATCAGCAGTCCGCTGTAAATGCCGTTAGTTCGACGACTTGGAATCAGCCAACAACAATATATCATTAAGTGTTCTGCGAGTATTCATTCACGTTTTCAAAGGAATGCGGTTCGTGTTCCTTTCTATTTCGTGTCCAGGTACCAAAGGAGGATGAACCAGCGATACCCCCCCTCGCATCGCTCTTTGGGGTTTGAGTTGTTTTATCGGGAGAGCGAGAGAGGGGCGCAGGTGGTGGCTGGGCCAATGGCGGTGGGCAGTCCAAGGGGTCATGTGCCAACGGGTTCCAGACCCGTACTGTTCCGTACAGGTCCATCGTAGTTACTGTCCTGTCCTTGGGGATAGGTACCCTCTGGTAGGTTTGCTCTAGACTAGTGGTAAGATATCGGCGTGGTTAGTCACTGAAACACTGGTTGCGATGTTCCCTCGAGAAATCAAGTCCAATCCGCCGGTCCAATAGCATCCACGGCCGGTAGGGATCGACCGCCAGTTTGCCGTAACTCCCACTGCTGGTCCAAGACGATAGGACAGAACTCATCCGAGTGGACCATGATAGCTCCTAGATAGAAATCATCTTCACACCGTAAGAACCTCGAAGAGGGGCTCCTCGTTCGAGTCGGGTCAAGGCAACGGCCGGTAAGTTGAGCGTTGAACATCTCGGGAATAAAGCCCAACCCAAAGTGCCCGAATCGGGATTTCCATACATCCACGTGACAACCCAATGACGCACGTGGTTGAATCACAGGAACTCAACGGGTATCTGCGGTTAGTTCAAACAAGAGCGAGGGAGTGAAGACTGTCGTCATGAGAGGAGATATCTTTATTCATTACAGCCTTACGGCCTGAAACTTAACCATGGTACACAAAACTGAAAAACATGACCATCGAGAGGGAAATGCGATAAGGTTATAGGCCCAACATAGACAAATCGTGAAGGAAACACGTCTCTATGAAACCCGCAAATCCTGAGCACAAAGGAAAATCACGTCTATTGCGAGTAAACAAGGTATTGAGTAATATTACATGCCCTGTCCGTCAATATGCCGAGGATCTGGGAACGTATCAGATCCGATGCGACAAGCCGCTTGAACCGGGTGGAAGAAAGAATTTTATTCACGTAAAATGGATAATTTAAGCACAGCTCTCCTTGAGGTAACTGGCGGAGCATGAACGGTTAGCACAAGAGCTCTTGGAACAGAAAGCCATGGCGAGTAAACATACGTGATGAGGTCGTTCCTCTCCTTGCCCTTCTTGAGACCACCGAAGGCCATCTTGGTACCGGGGATGAACTTCTTGGGGTTCTCGAGGTATTTGAACTAGGTCAAGTACGTCAGCCTGCAATCTAAGATAGCTCGCAAGTGTGGAGCATAGTGCATACCAGAGTGTTCTCATCCCAAGTGACACCGGCCTGCTTGTTGGCATCGGTGTAGGCGTAGCCCTCAACGGAACCGGTCTGGCGGCCGAAGAGACCGTGGAGCTTGGGGCCGACCTTGTTGGCACCGTCCGCCTCGACAGTGTGGCACTGAGCGCAGCGAGTCTATAGATCATGTTAGATACTGCGCAGCGATTCTGCTTATGTTTCGATGTTAACTTACCTGGAAGAGCTTAGCACCCTTGGCAGAGTCACCTGGAGGAATATGGATGTTAGCCGCCTGCTTCGCTTTCTCCGCGGCCTCAAGTTCGACCTCGCGCATGTCAATGGTAATAAGACAGAAAGTGTCAAAGCTGGTCATGTTGCTCTGGATGATTGGGTATTGTGGACTTAAAGATAGGTGGTGCTTCAATCAATGGGTGCGAAGACAAATGTCGCAGACTGTTCACTGCCTCGAGAAAATGGAACACAGAGCTGCTGGGGAGATTGTGCTACTCGAACAGCAGTAGCCATCATTCAATTCATCGCAAGAAGCAATTCGTGTTTGTTTAGACACCAGCAGTGAATGACGGGATGGGACACGCTCAACAAACAACGGGGAGACAACCAGCCAGGGAGTGAGGGAGGTAGCTTACCAGGAGCGAAACTAGCGTCCTTGCCCATTGTGAATGTGTGTAGTAAAAGTCTAAAAAGACTGAAAAGGTGTTGAAAGGATAGTGTACAAAAAGAGGGTATCCCAAAAGCGAATTGAGGAGATCAATTGAAGGAAGGGAAAAAAAAAAAAACCGGGCAGGAAGAAAAACTTGCGATCGCAGCAATTTGTACAAAGCGCCGTCTTCGCCCCCGATGCCTCCCGTGATTCGAGCCTCGGCCAATCAGCGACCGGATGATTCAGCACTCAACGGGCTCTCTCGGGACAAGGGAACCAACCGGTGTCTTTTTTCAGCACCTATTTTTGTTTCCTTGGTTCCAATTTTATGGGGAGGAGACGTCCTATACCGCTACAAAGGATGTAACAACGTTACGTACACTTACGTTGCCCGGGAATAGAAAGCTGTCTGGTACGGTAATCAACTCCTTATCACATTCTCATTCTCATTTTACAGGACTATTGATATGAGCGTCAGTCATGGTCATTTCGCAAAAGCCGGGTTTACATAGGTATGATCTCATATCTCGACGGTGTTTGACCCAACAAAAGATTACGGGGAGAACTGGGCCGGAGTGGAAATGGATGGACCCGGCTTTGGAAATGCCTGCTTTGCTATTTGTTCCCCAACGGGCAGAATTCTCGTGACTGGTCTGTGTGTTCGGCCGCCGCCTTTGGCCCGAATTGAGGCCAGAGCCTGAGGCAGTTATTCTTAACGGACCAGAATATTCAATGAATAGAACTTGTCCAGACGGGGAGCTCACGATACCCTCTTCCTGGACGGTCGCCTGGTATGCATTAATCCCTTGGCCCAGCATCGTAGTTATCCATCCAGAACAACAGCACAAGCAGAGTAGCCCAAAGACTACACTACTATTCGATGCTTTGAGGAAACTTATTACAGACATCTAATTCGTTTGGACCCTTCTCTCCGTCACCCTCAACTAAGCTTCTTGCACGAAGTAGTATAGGACCCTTCCAGGTGTATCAATAGTTCCACACCTCTTCCTGTTTTGACCTTTCTTCCCCTAGGAGTGGTAATCTTCTGAGCTGATGGACCCTCGCATCAAGCTCCCTGGTTTTAGTTCTACATATAAGATGGACTTCCGTCGCCTCACTTGACAGCTGCAATACAGCATTGGGCTTCGAAGAACGAGGAGAACATCCGCTTTGACCCCACACATACGCCATCTTGTCTATTGTACATGGAATTTTCAGCTACCGACTGTAACGTAACGCATCCGAGTGCAACTGGGTAGGAAAAGCAAGCTTACTTGAATCTAGTGTTGTTTCCCGTCGAGCTTATAGACATACCAGATAACTGCTTGGAACATGGCAGATAGTATGAACAAATAACCGTTACTCACTTCAGTTAGATGTTCTAGAACTATGTACCTCTGGGTGTATTGCCGATCAACGTTAAATGATATAGAAACTATTGAAACAGGCCCGGGCTGTAATTACAGTTAGCCTGACATGTTCCGCCGAACTACTGATCGCCGCGCATGACATTGAGAGCCCTAGCCGAGGAACCTGACAAGGTGCTTCTCCGGGACATATAATGAGATGTTTGGAGAGAACAGCATATGCTGGCTTACTTCATCATGGTGAGTGAATGAAGTATCGAAAACCTTGGAAGGGGTCTGCCTATTAACTTGGGAGATGTCTTGAGTTGTGTCAGACCTTCTCGCTCCATATTAGGAGCGGTTTATGGTCAATTCCTTGCAACCCTTGTTTATGCATTTGTAGGACTGTCGGACAATGACATCGACTGGGTTCGAAATAGTGGACCATTTTAAGTTATGAAGTTTTAAATGTGTAACATAAGTAAGTGGTTCTCGAGTGGACAATGAGTGTCGAGAATGAAGCCATGCTTGTTCGGAGATATGCGGTCGAGTATTTAGGTATCACAGCACCCCAGCTTTGCAGTACCTCTGTAGCTATGGGAGCAGTATGTATTTCAATCAGGCTTCTAGAAGATCAATATCAAAAGAGAGGGACAAATGTCCAAAGTTCAAGTTCCATCAAACAAACCCAACGTCCATATAGTCAAGGTCACGTGATAACCACATCAGCATCGACCAGTGGGAAAAAAAAGTTCCAACTCCGCAAAGCCATCAACTCCACCTCCAACATCCTTTCCCTAACAATGGCTTCGGTCACAATTCCACAATTCCTCCTACCACGGGGAATCCCGTCTACACGGGCCTTTCAATCCCTCACACGCGCAAACATAACCCACCATCGCATTAGGACCACGACCCAACGCTGCGCATCAGACAACAGCAAGCCGCGAGTCCTAGAACAGCCAGACAAATTCCGGCCGCCATCGCACCCCGCGCGCAGGGTCGTGCAGACACGCAATGGAAGAGTCATCGGCCGAGAGCCGATTAACTACGGTCCTAAGCTCACGGAAAAAGAGAGGGAGGAGCAGAAGCGCAAGCAGTATCCGAATATGTTCCCGCCCGAGGGCACCGTTATGCATAAGTTTTTGACGAACCGGTGGATTCATATCTGGATTGCTATGGTGAGTTCTTTTTTGGATTATGTGGCAGTGATGGTTCAATATTTGTCTTGATGCTAATTAAATGTGGTTGCTTAGAGCGTACTTACAACTTTGGCTACATTTACCTTTACTACCAACTTTAAGCGGTCGTCACCGTTTGCGCACTTGCTTCCGTCTTGGTCGGATCTTCTTTGGCACCCCATTGATACCATTTCTCAGGCGTTGGCTGTTTTCCGCATGCATGTGCAGCATACCTCCGTGCAGACGAGGGAGAAGCGGCATCAGCGGATCGAGGATGCGGAGAAGAGACGGCAGTACCGGATTGCCCATGGGTTGGAGGAGCCGACTGAGGAGCAGGGCAAGGCTGAGACTGAGGTGATCGATGATCAGTCTCCGATAGCTGCTGATGCGGAGACGAAACAAGGAAGTGGAGAATATGTTGATTGGGAGGGAAAGAAGAGGCCTGTCAAGAAATGGTTGGGCATCTGGTAGAGATACCTCTTTCTGAGCCGGTATTGGGGTTGTGGATGGGAGGTTGGGTAATTGAGAGACTGGGGTGTATAAACAATGCTGAAGAGCATACTATGTAGATTAGCTTTGCATATCTTTTGGATTTTGTCTTAGCATTGTATTATTCATTATGTACATGACATCTGTCGTTTGATGTGATGATCCATCTTTCTCAGCAGGCTGCTGATTCAGCACTGTAAAAAAATGCCTTCGGTCCTGTTACCAGGGCATTTCCGCAAAGCGCACAGAAGACCTTCTGCTCCTACATTGTAGCGAATCAGTAGCGATGCGCATACTTCGGCCGAGCATTTCTATCTCCGCCGGCAACGGCTACATGGTAGGAGACAAATAGAGGGCGCACGTAGGGCACGATATCATCCCTATTCGGGACAATGAAATGTCGCATCAATCCATTCACCCAACTTGAACACCCTCTAGACCCTCGAGAACCTCCTCACCAACACCACCCTTCTCGAGCACGAGTTTAACGACGCGAGCAACCGTGCTTCTCTTCACACCTCCACGACGGGGCCTCCAAACACCCGGAACCTCTTCTTCGCCTGTGGATGGGTTCAAAATGGCTGCTTCTTCGGCAGCAGCCGTGGAACCTAAGGTAGTCACATTTTCCGAGTTAGGCACACCAGGTTGTGTTAACCTGGAAGGAGGATCGATCGTGCGGATGGAAACGAGCTTCAGGCTATCAGAGTCGCTATCCCGAGTGATAGAAACGGCCAAAACCGTATCAGCAACAGCAATCTCCTCTCTATCAGGATCGAAAATAATGTTTTCGCCTACAGAGACAACGAGCAATGTTACTGGGGGGCGAACTTGTTGGGAAGAAGTAGGGGATGTTGTCGAAGTAGAGCGTGGATATAGATATTCTGCAGCATCCCAATCATCGTCAAAAAACGGATCTTCCTCGCCTTGTGACTTCAACTTCGGAAGCTTCGTCGACAGTAGCGCCAGATGAGTCGTTAAGGATAGTAGTGGAAGTGGGTATGATTGGGGTTGGGAGAGAAGAAGAACCTAAATCAACAGCATTAGAGTCGACCATCCACATGAAATTGAACAAACACCCTACATCAATATACAATCGCCAGTGCCACCGTTTGTTGATCACCAGCCTTCCCTTGAGCCCACCGGCCATCTCGCCATTCCCAGAGCCCTCACTTGATACAGACTCAACCAAAGGCTCTCGCATCATCTCGGACAAGAAAACTGGCAAAGCATCGTCATCCCGGAACCCTGGGATCTCGATCGACATCTGCACCCATGATCCATGTCCAGAACCCGACCCTTGGTTTCCCACGTTGTCATTATTCCCTGCATATTCTTCCTGTGTCTGTTGCGGCAGTTTGAGCGCATCTGCCGAGATCACTGTCTTTTCTACTTCCGCCTTCACTCCGACGATTGCTTGAGTGCCGTCCGCAAAACCGACACGCGCGCTACCGTTAGTTCCAGGAAGAATATCAGTCTCTGCTGTCAAGGGCCGAAACTGTGCCGCCGAGCGTCCATCCGGTCGAATTGGGCTACCTGGAAGAGCAAGAGATGTGTGGAGATAAGAAAGCTCTGCAGGCGAGATATGTGGGGTTTGGGAAGCGGACGAGGCCTGCCTTTGGGCCGCCATTGGAGCAGACAATGAAAGACAAAAGGAAAAGAAAAATAGAGGAGAATATTGAGGTTCAGAAAGCAATGAAAGATTTTGAATTATGTGGATATTGTCTCACAATCTGATAGCTCCGCGGCCGTGAACAGGTGGAGTTATTTTCAGTCCCAGGCTACCAGTCAGTCCAATGTAGTGGCGACCTCTCTGGGGAGACAATGGCAATACGTAATAAATATGCGATCTATTCACGGGAGCAGAATGTCCATAGCCGATGTTAAGATAACGTGCTACACAGGGCCAAGTTAGTACTACCTGCTACAGAAATTCTGCGAAAGGCGGACAATCGTTGTTCCCGGCCCGCTCGACCGTTCCCCATCAACGCTTATCAACTGCCACTACTGCCGATCCTACGCAAACAAGGTAAACAATATGAAGTACAGAGCACTTTGTGGCCTGTTCGATTAAATATATATGTATAAACAGACGGCGTGACAGCCGCATATAAGTACTATATTACAAGGTGTGTAGAGCCCAAGACTAGCCACCAGTGGTCCTTCCCAGCAACAAGAAAATTGTACATGAGGTGAATCGAAAGTTTTTGCACAGAGGTCGCATCAATTCCCTAGGTGAGGTGCAATGAGCGGCAGGTGAGGATAAGGGATAAAAGAGAAAAAGGAGAGGCTAGGGAAAGAAGCTTAGGAAGTGTATCGGAGGTAATGATGACAGGATGTGACAAAAGAAAACAAAAACTGTTGGCAGGAAATAAGACATGTTGGGTTAACAATGCATATGTATATATATAAGGAACGATAGCAGACCTCGCGACTCGCGCATTTGGTATCAAAACAATGTGCAAACAAGAACACCGCAAAACGAAAGACAAGATATGAAAACCGCATGCCGAAACCAGGTTGCGAGGCCGACTATATCTATAAAGGCCTTTGGGGTATGAAGACAACAATAAAGACAAATGAAAAGGAACCCGGGCTAATCCTTGCCCCATGCAAATATAGGGAGAGAAGATGTTTTCACAAAAAAAAAAAAAAAAAAAAAAAAAGACAAACACCAACCGCCGGAAAAACGAAAGAATACAAGACACCAGATCCTGTACGCCATGCTTGGTTAGATCGCCAATTACCGTGCGTTCCCCCCTTTTTCTCTCTTTGATAAATCCAAACAAGACTGGGAAATAAATATCAAAACACGACATCCACCTATGGTACAACGCTCAAAGGGCGAACTACCTATAGGTCGACCCTGTCATAAAGGTTGTAGCGCCTGAATGGTTCCAGTCCCCATCCTCATAAGGTGGGGTAGGCCATTGGCGAGTACTTGTGACAGTGTCTGTCTTGCCATCGGGAAGCCCCAGTCGCCTAATCGGAGTGGCATCAGAGTGACCAAAAGAAACACCGTCACATTTTGCTGAAGGAGAGGGGGTAGGATAGGGGCTAGGCAAGGCTCGCGAATTGTCGTTTCCTATGGCCGGGTGACTGTAATTCGATGACCCATCGGACGATGCCTCGGTCTGTGCTAGTCGCCTCGCAGCTTTGCTTGCCGAGTGTAATGCTTCATCAAGAAGCTCATCCTCCTCTTCTGGTGTTTCGTAGCGGTGAACAGGGTGACTTGAGAGCTGCAGCGCACGCCGAGTTCGGCTGGAGATTGGCGCACCAGTACCACTGGTCGAAACGGGGCTATCTCCCATTGATCGTATAGATCCTTGAGGCATGGACTGCCTCTTTATGCCCTCCACGGGCGAGGTAATATAGACTGGAACATTGCCGAGTGCAGTCGAATCGAGAGAGCATTTCACGCCCTGAAGGGCTCTGTCCAGTTCCGACAAATCAGAGCCTTGCTTGGCGTCGTTAGCACTGGCAGTGTCCAAGGCCAAAGATGAACGATTCGACCAAGGCATACAACCAGCATTAGCCTCAACATCATCGTTTCCCACGTTTCCCTGGTTACGGCCGGATAGCCTACGAGCACGTTTGCGAAGGTGGGAGAAAAAGCTTTCCTTTTGGTTGGCACCAATAAGAGGATTTCCACCATTTAAAGCCCTCTCCGCTTCTTGCCTATGGACATCAGCGTAGTGATTGCCATGGGAGTTAAGCGAAAGCTGTCTGCCAATCTTCTTGCTCGCTTTTCCATTGTCGCCGGCAACACATGAATTCGCTTGTGCTGTGACTGCATTGGAAAGGGGGGATACCGGTCGGATCGAGGGCAAGATAGGCATCGGGGCCCCATTTGCCCAAGTGGCACGCTTACTGGGCGCAGGCTTACTCTTGGTGGTCTCAGGTGCTGTGCTGTAGGAGACAACAGGCTGTTTAGACTGTTCGTTATCGCTATCAGACCTTCCGATCAATGATCTCCTGAACCATGACGACTTGGATGTGAGAGAGGGCGAGTCACTGTTTTCCCGAGTAGGAGACTTGAAGCTCTTGTCAGAAGTTTTCCGACCCAACAATCGGGCAGTTGAGGACTTCGGCCTCAATGGGTCAACGGCATCTGCAAAGTATTCATGATTCAATGCCTGTGTCGAAGTTGGCCTATTCTTGGGGTCCCACATCAGACACCAAGTGACAAAATGGCTGAGAGATGTCGGCCACTGGGGTGCTTGGAGGATGCTTTCCATTGAATGAGGGGCCATCTGCACAAATGGTCAATTTCTATTTCCATCGTCATATGTTATGGGTGACATACCTTGGGGAAAGTGAATCCCAGTTTCTGAGCAAGACGGGATCCATCTCTCCATTCACCACCGCCGAGCTTGGTGCCTGACTTACTGTACCAGTTACCTGGGCTACCCATTATCTCGCAAACGCGCCAAACCTGATCAACTTCGTTGCCGCCCGGGAACAACGGCTTCAATGTAGCGATTTCAACGGCCATGGCTCCGATCGCCCACATGTCCACAGGTGCGGAGTATTCACCGGCACGCAGAAGGACCTCAGGTGCACGGTACCATCTTGTAGAGACATATGTAGTGTAAGGTAGCTTGGAATGGGTCTCCCTTGCGAGGCCAAAGTCGGCGATTTTCACGGTATATGTTGGAGGGGTTGAGGGGGGAGTCACTAGGTTAGAGTAACGGCTGAAGGCGGAGTCGCTCGGAGCGGATGTGGATACGAGGATGTTCTCGGGTTTGATATCACGATGGAAAAAGTGGTGAGCATGGATGTGATCAAGGCCCGACAGAATTTGGTAGAGGATGCTCTTCACATGCTTCCCATCGAACGGCTTATGGTCTCGTGATTTCATTAGTTGGTAGAGGTTACCATCCATATATTCCATACAGATATGTAGCTTGCGGGAAAGAGGGTCGAGAAAGATGTCGAGAGCTGGGACGAGGTGTGGATGAGCGGGTAGGGTCCGTAGGAAGATGACTTCCCGTAATTCTAGACATGGAGCTAACGAATCGAAGGTCTTCTTCATAGTTTTAATGGCAACCTGATGATGAGGTCAGCACAACGATGCTTCCCCACGATGCCGGAACGGGTCTTACCATGGTTCCTCTCCGTGCGATGTTGGAACCAGCCGTCCGTACACGAGCCACGGCAACACTGCCAAAGCTACCATCCCCGACTTCCTTCATCACTTCAAATCGGTCTTCAAGGGTAGCCATTGACGTCGGTGCGGCGGTCCGCAAGGACGAGTGATCGTAAGAAACGGTCATTGTCTCTCCTTATCCTTCTCTGCCAGCAGATGAACCAAGAGAGTTCGGATGACTGTCGGGGCTTCTATCAGCCGGTCTTGTTCCGTCGCAGAGTTAGATTATCCCGGGGGAATCTCACCCTATATAAGCGGTATTGGCGGCAAAGGTTATCTCTTCCAATGATATTCGGAAGTGATTCAGTTAAACCAGGTGGTCATCATTCGAAGTTCAAACGTTATTGAGTCCACGGTAGGTGAGACGAATATGGTTCTCTTCCATCGATATACCAGTTTTGGTCAGAGGGTAAGTGGGATTGATTAGATGCAAGAAAGATGAGGGACAGAAATGAGTGGGAGAAGAGGGGGAAGGGGGTGGTCATGTAGTTCCCAGGAAGGTGGAGGAGAGGCAGATCTGGAAGCAAGATGGAAGACCCAGAGGATTGGACGTGATCACTGTAGTGATAGGAGCGGACCCGTTTTGGTGGGAACTGCTAAACGAAAGGATGATCGGAGGCCGAGTTGAAGGAGCCCCTGACGCGGTGACAGCTTTACCAACACTTTACCAGCTCTAAGACGAGACTTGGGGCCGGGCCGTGGAGACTTGCGAAGAAGCGGTCGACGACGGAGCGAGTCTTGAGGGGGGGAATAGTTTGATGGTGCAGATCACAGGGGAAACAATAATGATAGGACGGTAATAATAAATATTAAAAAACAGAAAAAAAGAGGGAATAAATCAAAAAATAATAAATCAAAACAGAGATAGATTATTGAGGGGTCAATACAGTTGGAAAAGAGGGACGGGGGCTGACATGGACCAAAAAGGTAAATTCAAATAATTATCATTCGAATTGACAACAGGTAAGACACACAGCCATGTAGGTCACGAAGAAAGAAGGAGGTTGGATGGTTGGGTGTGTAAAAAAAATAAAATAAAATAAAAATAAGAACTGTAAAAAATGTAAAAAGGAAGGCAGCAATTGAGGTGTGAGTGAGTATGAAAGAGTGAACTGACGCGAGTGGTTGCTGAGAAACAAAAAGAGAGACAGAAGTGAGCGACAGCAGCATTGACGACGCGAAATTCAGACAATAAAAACCACCATCAGAAAATAATAAAACATGATTACTCTGCCTTCTCCATACTCGCAGACTAGTTTTATCCGCTAACACGATTTGGTCACCATACCCTCTGACGATACTCCGTAATAATCCTCGCAAACTAATAATAATGCCTGTTGGCGGATGGGAAGGCCTCCACACTAACTAAAAGCGAAGACGAGTCAGGAATGGACCGGAGATCCACCCCGCTTAGGAAAAAAATAAATCGTCCATTATATTTACTGGAAATTGCAGAAAAGATGAGCGATAAACAAAACGAAAAAGAAAAAGGAGGTCACCGGTAACAATGACCTCGACTGAAGACGGGTAGCCGTTACGGCAAATTGCCGAAAATGTACGGTAGTAAACATGGATTTAACACAATATACGTGGGTTAACAATATCCTAAGAGGTAAATACTTTCGACACAATAAAAATCAGAGAAAGCGAAGATAAAAATTATTGGTCAATGAGCATCATTTGACCATCTTGGTACGCAAGATACCATTCGATTTTTTCTTTCTCTCTTATTTTTTTTTATTTTTCCTTTCTTTCGTTTCTTTCTGGCCTAATCCCTAAAAGGTTGAAACATCATCGTAATGGCGTTACGCCTAAAAATTCCGGGTTCAGTGGTCAGTGGAGCGGAAATTAGTATTTTCTAGCGCTATGATTGTCGCAAAAGATTAATAGAGTTACCAATAAATGCGCTCCGTTTGTACAGTCATACGCTAAAATACCCAAAGCAATAAATAGTAGCCAGTTCGTAGAACGCTCCCCATTTATGGGGGAGGCGTTTCCATACCTTCCTGGTACACCAGTGATGCGGCTGATGATTCATCCCATCTATCTCTATCTCTTTTACGTTATCTTTGCGATTGATATCTAATTAAGTATACTACTATACTCAATAAAAGCTATTATGATCTAGGATCTCGGAAATGATTCCAAGTCACCCGACGGTTCAAAGGGTTAGCATGGTAAAGTTTAGAGCCACAACTTCTAGCACCAATCCCTTGTGTTGACTGTTGACACCGGGGTTTGGATAAAGCAACCAAAGAGCTTGAAAAATAAATGGGTCAAGACTCATTCAGTGGCCACCATCGCACGCCGCTTTGAAGACTTAGGAGGTCCAGCCTTAATAACGACCCACATGGTCCCCGCCTCTAGCGATCGTTAGACGGGCCCTAGCAAGGATGGCCAGGGGTTGGGCCGCGTTTTCTCATATGACTCTGTACATACACTGTGTGTACGGAAAATTACGGGGTTAAGGTATTGTATGTATTCCGATCCCACACAGGGCCTTGGAAGTCCGGACTCTTCGAACTCACAAATCAGACACTCGAGCAATGTGATGTGTATGCTTTGCGCAATACCAGTCCAATCCAATCCAACCCGTACTTTGATGGGTTTGGCGATGACTCTCACTGGTATGTAGATGACCTCAGGGGGCTTTTCTTTGCATCAGAATGCTTCTTTTTTTTCTTAAAACTTTAATCCCCTTCCTTGCTACATATACATATATCAAGACAAGAAAAAGCCAAGGCATGTTTGGGCGATGATGGCCGTAACTGCATTGTTTGTGTAACCTTAGGCAGCATGGACAATGGTGCACCGTTCATGCAAGTTGTTATCTGCATTGGTGGATAGTTCATCAGCTCCATCTCTTACGGTAATCCCACCAACAGTGGCTAACCATGTAGCGTGTGGCTGACCGCCAACAGAGAAAGTCAATGTCACCGAGGCGAATGTGGTACGACTCCCCCTCTAACCTCTCGAATTTTGATAGGGGAAAATGAGACTGGAATTTGAAAGGATGGCGGCGTAGCTTCCACGCCCCTCATGAAAATTCTCTCTAGATAATATTTGTAATGATGTATTCCATGCTTTACCGACAATGATCCAACACCAGCTCGCCAAGGGCATTCTGCGGCTAATCGGTAGGGACTATGGAGTACTCCTTGATAATCTAAACTGATTACCCAGATCTGTAATTCATCCGAGTGGTGGAAACCGGTGGGAGTCGCAACTGTCAAACCACAGTCGCGTGGGTGATACCACTTCCCAAACGAGAAGGAAGCACTCCGTACCTAGTGAGATAAATAAATAAATAAATAAAAACACAGAAACAATATTAAACTAGCAATCCATCCATTGTTTCGAAGGATATCTCAGGGGTTTCAACCAGTGTTCCGGGAACCCTTCTTTGTTTGGTCCTGTGTGACGTGTAGATTAATGCTGCCAGGTATGAAAAATACTTGGAAGGTGACTGATGAGCAAAAGGGCATACTAGAGACAAGGCGAATCTTTGGGGAACTGAGGGGAGGCGATTTCCTGAGTTTGAGTTCTCAGCTCACCGCTAATGTATCGGATCTCGATGCAATAATATGCGTTCTCTACTGCTTGGTTCGTAACCGACTGAGGGAATAGTCTCGCAAATTGCGGAGTCGTAAATGGTCTCGACCTGGTTCACATGACTTTTAGCAGGTAGACCGGCATATGCGCCGTAAATCCATACATAGCACTCCGTACTAGTACGCAATTCAAAATACTCATTGCCCTCTGGGGCAAGGACGCTGAATGAACGGAGTATGCAAGTATCTGCTACCGACGTGCATGTAGGCAGTGCCACTTACAGGTCGAGTCCATGAACCATCCCACTTACCTGGAGTCAGTGCCCTTCTGCATGCTACGGAGTACTTTGGGGGTGGAATCCAAGCCAATAGATCCTAACAGTTCGCTCCAAGGCTGAGACTGGTGCAGTCTGTTACTACAGCTACCGATCACTTCCGCTACGTTTTGGTGATCTCTCCACTGAGCTGAAAATCTTCGTCTGTACAACATTGTCGGTGTCCAATAGTGTACTGTCGATGCTCACAGATCCCATCCCACCGGCTTGTAACATTCTATATATATATTACAGTATGACTCGGTATTGGGTGATTCTTCATTATTCAGGCGGTAACCTGTAATGATGCCATGCAGGATATGCTTAATCTGGCTGCAAACTCCATATAGAGAGGCCTATATCAAGATCTCACATGTCTGACATATCCACAGCATATCTTCCAAATTCAGCTATATATGAATCCAGCATCTGATGTGTATTACCAAAAGCTAGGTATGACTTTAGTACTTTTGACTTTTTCTTGTTTTAAACGCGATTAACTCGCAAGTGGTGGGTAGATCCGAGTTGATACATAGCCGGAAATGGAAATTACGGATCACATCCATCATCGGGTGTTATGGTTAGACCTGCGATATGACCTTGTATATTTCTCATTTGTGCTATTTCCTGGTTCTATTCTCACTAAATATGTATTTTCTTATATATAATATTTCCTCTTTATTTTAGTTTTAATCATATTATTTATATCTATATTTATATTTATATATTTATTTATTCGTTGAACAATAACGATAATGCCTCAGAAAAATTACGCTCGGAATCCATGTTAGATGACATGATATAACTAGGATTAATAACAGTACAATATATTGCCCGGGTTACATATTCCCAGATTTTCGAAAAGAGGCTAACAATCCCCTACATGGGCAACGTGGGCTCGAAAGATTTGAAGGCAAACCGTAGGTTTGCAGAAACAAATGAAATGAGGAAAGCATGAATAGAAAAGGGGGCAATGAAAAACCAAAAGGAAAAAGAAAAACAAAAAAAAAAAAAGGTAAAATAAAATTATAACAAAAATTGCCGGAGGAGTGGTCACCCACCAGGCAGACTAACTACAGAGAAATGGGCATTCACTGTGGGCAAACTGAGAACGGAGGAGAGAATCAACGGAAAGACACCGCACACACAACCACCCCCATAGTTAGTATCCACCCATTAATAGCCACGGCCGGGAAATGATCCATAAGGGGATGTGATCCAACCAGCCGGGAAGCAAAGAGTGGAGATTTGTGGGACTTCTTATTGCACCGGAGGAGTCGGGGAACGCGGAGCCCCACTCGGCGCAGGCCCGTCCCTACTACCCGACAAGCCAGCCATGGGTCAGGTCTTCTATCAACCAGTAGCAATCGTGTGTAGTGAAGGATCGCTGGATGGAATGGGGCCATTCACGCACTAGGGGAACTACCTGAAGGACCCCCGAATTGGCCTGACCCCCGAGCCACTATTAGCAATTTAGCATGCCACTAACTGGTGACGCCGTTTTATTCCTTTGGAATTCTAGAAGGTTTAAGGAGGTTCGTAGAAACGGCAGAGAAGGAACTGGAGACACTGGATGGTCCTTCTAGCTGCTTCGTAGTGTCGACAAGATGGCCGTATATTGGTCAGCAACTCTGCTAGGTTCATTTATCAGACCCGTTGGAACAGACTAATTGCGATGGCGTTGCCGTGTGCCGTGGAGGATCATCAAGATATCCCTCGTACAACAGTTAAGCGTGCTTCTGGAACAACCGTAGGGATCGCTGTCAACTTGCCACCTGACGTATTACATAGGAGGTCAATTGTTGCCTTCTGCCGCGAGGAGATCAGAGCGCTGCCCAACACGCTGGAATCACTCGATGATCCCGCAGGACCATCGATTATATTGTCTACCCGCTACCAAGGAATATAATCCAGTCTATCTTGGCGCAGAAAAGGGATGTGATTGCTCAATCCCTCAATTTGCCTTGCAGTAGGCCGAGGGTATCTGCATTGATTCCACCTAAGGTGCATGTCAGATCTTTGCTTGGGCCCCTGGCCGTGTTCCCAGTTCAAGATAATTTCGAAAAACCCGAGGGAAAGGGCTAGCAAAAAGTACCTCCTTTCCAATGGATCGCTCCTTTTTTTCCCCCCCCAATCTTTTCTCAACCGTCTTTCATTTCACCCACTTTATTTTCATGCACATCATAGTCCATACCGCTATTGGCTATCGATTATGAGACAATCAATGCTTGGAGGAGAAAATCCATGAAACATGTCGGTTATATAATGACACTATATCTGCATAGCCATCATCATCTATTTGAAGCCTCCACGCAGTAAGATACAAACGGCTCTGCACAATTCCAAAAAAAGAACACTAAGAAAACTTATATCATGACATTATCCTTGTGTAATATCATCATTCCTAAGTTGGCAGGTCAAACGATACGGGGGGGGGGGGAAATAAAATAAATGACAAATCAAAATAAGAAGAAAAAAGATACTCCGAGCCCAACTCCTCGGGCTTCTGCCAACCTCATCAAATATTGCAATACACCTAATTTTAACGCTCAGTATCTACCCGGCGCTCAGCCATCGACACTAGGACTTTGACACTAGGACTTTGACCCAAATAGGAAAACTCGAAGAACGCGGGCCGCGCATCATCCTTCTAGCACGCCCGCGATAGTCAGTGAGTCCCGAGTTTCTAAAAAGATGAGACCACGGATACTCTCGTGTTGCCCTTCGATCAATACACTAGACTGATCATACCATGCCTGGTCAGGTGCCGAAAACGAGTCCTTTTCGTGGAGTTTAGCAGCCTTCTGGAAATATTGATCTCTATAGTCCTTTCGCCACTATGTCCCGTCGTTTCATTTCTTTGTAACAGGAATCACAACACTAGTAGCAATCTCAACGATTTCGTCGTTCTGACTTTTGGGTGGTCATCTGCCCTGCTTCACTTACAGCATGGTAGGCATAAACTCGGGTTGGTCCAGTTCGCCGGTCTTCGCCCCCTGTATTTCCGCATTTCTTGCATTCATCGAGAGCTACATGCAGGATTACTTTGTATTGTGTTCACCGACTCAAGACTGAACATGCGCTGCATGAATTCTGATTGGTTGGTTAGAGAAGTCTCGGACTGTGCACCAATAACTCGTGCTTCAGCTCACAGCTTAGTTCTTTCGAGGCCTAAGATAATAGTTTGGCAGCTTATCATTCTGAGGGTGGGAACATGGTAGCTGAGGGGTCTATTAATTATCGTGCATGCGTAGCAGATAATGCCCCGGGGCAGATACATACTACTCTGTTGCTTACCCCTAGTATCCAGCCAACCGCCAGGGGAAATGGTCCGGTCGCCAGGGATTCCTTGTCCACGCTCAAGTTTACCACTTTCCATTCAGTAGGCTTAGGTATGGTATGCTGGGAGCATATGACTTCCAGATCCTTAGCGAAATGCTCCGAAAAACGGTCTCTACATGGTAATGTCGCTTAAACTCCTCGGAAATCCACATGTTAGCTCGGCATATCTTGGAGCGCAGACCAACAACGAAGCAGATGAACTTCCTGTCTAGATGAAAGAACTAAGTCATGTGCCGGATCATACTATTCTCCATACATGCGCCTCAGTAGCCGTGCCTATCGATTTCCGGTCATTAACCAAATGTATCATCTGACCCCAACCTCCGTAGCCCTTGCAGTATATACGAGGCGTGCAACGTCAGCCCATATGTCAGCACACGCATGGCTTTGGCACTTCCTTGAGTCATTCATGATGACCGGTTTCCCCAATATACATCTACTACTGTCAGTAAATTATTCGAATAAGGGCTTGAAGGGTACAGGCTCACTTCATACAAAACGCATCGGATCTACTAACTGTCAGTAGAGGTTAGACATGGGGAAAAGAAAAGCAAGGTTAAAAGAGAAACAAAAAGAAAATATATTAGCTTGAATAGGAAATGCACGTCGAGGCTGTTGGAGACTGTGTCAGAGCAGCCATGACTACCGACACACTTCTTCCAGATGGGCTCTGTATTGACTATGAAGTCAACGGACGGCAATAACACTAGACTTCACAGGTTTATGCAGATCGATCATTTCATGGAGTTGACTGTTGTATGTCTCGTTTGGCGAAAAGGATAACAAGCCTCATAGTTAGATTTGCCATCAGACAATTCAGAGCAAGCACATTAGGAATTCTCTTCTCAGGCAGACAGGATTCGATCCATCTTACCCTGATTCCTGCTCTCTCAATACTTTCGCTTCTCAAGAAGCCTTATCTGGTTTTTCGAAAGGGGATACCCGCTTCATATTCACGGCAAAGGTTCTCAAGAAATGGAGCCAAGAGCTATAAGGAGACTACAGAGTACACATCCTGCAGGCAAGACAGGATTACAGAGCATAAACGAAAAAGGCGATTCGAAATTGAATCATGGCCTATTTAACTTATTGTCCATTTCATATTCATACGATACTCGGCCTGAGCTACTTCTAACTGACTAACCACGAGAGTACTAACCTGGGGCCCATACAACAGATATACTGCAAGTTGATATCACAACATACTAGTGGATGTATATAACTTGAGGGTGTCTCATTTGGCACACTGGTCACACAAACACTCCAAACAAAATTGGGATCAGTAGAAGGTTTCCATGGGCAGGATGCAAACAGAGTGAATGCAATTAGAGGCGAGGGTGAATTCTTACGCTCTCACACATCCAATCCCTTTTTCTCTTCTCACTTTCTTTGGACAGAGGCAGAAATTCAGTCAGAGTAAAAACTCATTCATTGCTCTTTGGCAGCGACCTCTCATCCCCACCTTGAGTGGGCTTATTGTCGGCTTTGGATTTTTCTATAAAACAGACTTGTTCTCTACACTCGCTCCTTCCCATGTCCTTAAGTCACATACTTCAACGTTGAACTCTGCCTTGACCCAGCACAAACTACATTTCCCTCATCTACATCACTTCTACGCCAGCTCCTCTGAGTCAATATCTAGCCTGTCCCATTATCACTATCTAACACTAACTTGCATTCACTTCTTCTGGCTCCTCGAGTATTAGAATTCAAGATCTGTGCTTGCCTTACACCTATATCACGATGGGTGAGAAAGTAAGAAATGCATATGCTGGTGGCTATAGCGATACTATCAAGAGACAGTAAGTCGATCTTTTTCTACGTACCGGATCCTAAAGCAATGAACTTATTCGCTGGCAACACTAGGCTTGAGAGGGTGGTAATCCCCGACAGGTTCGACGGCTCCTTCATTATCTAGCTGAAGTTTACGAAGCTTACAGCCATTTTGTTACAGAGTCAAGTGCATGACGTGCAAAAAAATGCGCATGCAGAGCGCATACTCTAAAAGACAGCTCGATGTCCTGCGAAACGCCATAGTCGTGCAAGGCGGCCGAGCCCTCACTGGCACTGGCCTCGCCAAATGCAGAGAATGTGTGGGCGGACAGACTGTAGAGCTCCGGTGCGCCATGTGTGATGAAACAAAGGGCCTTGAGGAGTTTGCAAAGAACCAGAGACACGATCGTGACCGTGCAGTAAGCCTTGAAAAACTTACTGTGGCAATTTTACAAAGCTAATGGTGGTTCTCCATAGAGGTGCTTGGCTTGCGTGCAGAACCATACGGAAACTGAGCCTGTTCTCGAGGAACAAAAACTGCTTGCCGAAAGCGAGATGTCCACCGCTCAAGATACTATTACGTCCGTAAGTCCTCTAAGACTAACCCACCTTGCTTAGCCCAGCTATTCGTCACATTAACGGACCCGGAGAGCCAGGCAGATGACGGTTACGCATACAGTACTGCCTACGGGGAAGATGAAGAGGATGATGATGACTACTCCATAGGGGGTGGAGTCTGGGTTGAGCCCGAATGCCCTCAAGGCAACCCTCCCACTAAGAGCAAAGAGCATGAATATACTGGATACGACCAACATGGAATGCCCCATCTCCTTAACACGCCTGCTGCGACACCGAATAGCGTGCACTCTGGCTGGGCTTCTTGGGAAGTCGAGGCTAGTTCTGCGCAAGCAAATACTCTTCGAGCCGGCAAGCCCTCACCTTCGGTGCAGAAAAAGAATTCGAACTTTGCGAAGATCCCAGTAAGGCCGATATAGCTGACGCTACAGTGGTTAGAACTGACTCGCATCTGTGTCCAGAGAATGCGAGTTGAGCGAAGCGATCTCCGGACATCACGCACCCCGGCCCCCACCAGAGAGAACTTGGCATATGAAAAGGGTGACCATGTTGACATTGAGGATTTTCTCTGAGTTAACAGGAACCGTGGTTGAGTCCGGTGAGGCACCCCCACCGATTCCAAATAGGACATTTCCGTGGTTAACCCGCCGGAGCTCCTTGTAGGACCTCACCTAAATAGAGTGACTATAGAACGGAGACAGCAACAATGAGAACCTCGCATAGATTAACTCTCGTTTCCCCTATAGTTTGATTACTTCGAACCAGCCGGTGATTTTCCTTTCAGACCACTGTTGAATCCTGCATGATATTGGGGGGTTTTTTAAGTAAGTACATTGGTATGGGGGTTAACTATGGAAAAACGAAAAAGAAAAAAAAGAAAAAGTACGTGCATCTGAAGATGTGCATGGGCGGTGACGTATGGCTGGCGTTAGCGGCTGAGATCGAATTAGTTCAACGTTTAAACTCTTTCTGTTCCTCGTGATTTATTTTCTGATTATTATTTCTCTGCCTCTATCGGAAAACAATGCAATGATCCTTTCTACTACCGCTGCTTTGTTGCCAGGCTTTTGCATTCTACGTTTTCTCCAGACAGCTGCAACTGTGTGATTGTTCAAGATCAGTCATACACTACTCCGTACACGAAATTGTTTCACGCTCCACTTACTCCCCCCGCAGGACCCCTCCATATCGTCACTCTTCTCACTCTTCTCGCTCTTTCTTTCACTTTTGCGCACATAATAGTCACTACAAAGAAAGACTTCGCCACTTGTGATCTGGCCGTAATTTACATCTTAATTTATTTGTCGTTTCCCTTTTCGGACCGTATCGATTACTACCAATCCGACCACCTTGCGAAGGAAACCCACGACAAGCGACCCGACGCTCAAGACTCGCACTCCTTATGGCTTACAATGGATATCAGAACAACTCGGTCCCCTTCTATCAGCCGGGCAATGCGAATCAAATGAATCCAAATGAGCCCCGCGCTTCATCGTACACACCGCCTTATCCGTCTCAGTACGGCCATGAGCGCCTCAATATGCCGCAACCTCAAGTTCCTCCTCCACCCCCAACGAATCCATATACGGAAGCTCAACCTCCTCCATCGCAGCCTCATACCTGGCAGCAGCCCTACGATGGGAGAATCAACGAGGCTGTTAACTCCGCATTTCACAAAGCTGACACATCTACCTACCTATCCCCGGAGGTTTTAACCCAAATAACGGCGAATGTCATCCAACAGCTCAAAGAAACGGGCCTGGAGAACCTACAAAGCGACCAACACCAGCCCCCGCCTCGGCCGCCCAAACAATGGGCAACTGGGGCGCATCCTACATACTCTAATGACTTTGCCTCTTCTCCTGTCATGGCGACACAAGATACTTCAGCCTCGTCGCCCCACGTTGCCTCTGAAAATCCCGCTTACCAACCACGACCACCGTCCACGGCATACTCCGGCAGCCCCCATCTCCAACCCAGAGCATCCCCAGCGCCGCCATCAGAGAGGCGAGGATCTCCGGCTAGTCAGATGAGTGAACATAGCCAGAGAATGGAAACCCGGCCAAAACCGCCGTCGAGAGAGGCCACCGTCACGGAGCTGACGACGCTGGAAAGAATATGGGGGACGCTTTTTGAGGATGGAAAGCCAACCAAGAAGCTGAGTCAGTTCTTGCGTGGGATTGCTGTTCATTTAGTGAGTAATACTATAAGTTGATGGATCCTTCGTCTAACCTGAGACCAGATCGAAGACTATGAACCCAAAAACAGTCTTGTCATACTTCCCGCAAAGCTACAGAAGTTTTATGAAGACACGAGAGTACCAGGAGACTATTATCCTTGGAAGTGTAAGTCGGCTTTGATACCCCTTTGTGAGTGGGCACATTTAACCTTTGCCACTTAGTTATCTTCGATGATGAAACATCTCACGTTTCGAGATTGTTTCGAGAGGTGAGAGCCGAACATCATCTCGTGCAGGAAGAAAATAAACTCCGTGAGAGACCATATATTCCTGGCCTCACGCCACGAGGCTTTGAGACATGGGCTACCTTGATGATTCAAGTCAACCCTGAGACGGAATATAAGCGACTGCAGAAAGCAGTGCTGAACATGCCTATTAGCAATCCGGACAACAGAAAGGAGAGGTTTCCCAAAGAGATCCCGCAGTCGTTGTTCCCCTTCGAAAAGATACTACAGCCTGAGTTGCAAGAGGAAATCAAGGAGTTCATAAAGGAGCATTGTAGTGTTGATTTGGATAAGGAGTTGGAGAAGTTCAAAGCGCATCACGAAGGCTCTACCACATCCACTGCCGCCTCGGGCCCTTCATACAGTGAGCGGGAACGAAAGCCATACCAGGCGTCTGTTTCCACAGTAGTAGACAGCGATGAGGAAGAACTCGACACTCCTTCACGTCCCATAGAACGACAGAGGAAACCATACACTGTGCATCCAGGAGGTGGGAAGGAGTACGGTGACCTTCAAGAACCTAACCATCGACACACATCTTCGTTCTCTGGAGGCTCTATTCCAAGGGATACTTTAGCTTCCTCGGAACCCAGAGTTTCCGAGCCTCAGAGCCTTGACCCTACTTACGTTCGACCCAGCAGTACTCAGCCACCTCTAAACACCATGAGGCGGTCAGGGAGCCCGCCACGAGGATCCAAGGTAGGTAGTGAATACAGACACTCTGAGGGTGATTTGCTGGGATACAATGGTAGCTCTGGATACGGAGTCGACGATAATTACTATTACCGTCCTGGCGCCTCCACCAGCACAGGGGACATCCTTGAAGACAATCGATTCTACCGAGACGCTAGCCGTGACGAAGACCAACGACTGTACGAGTCTCTCCGAGAGCGTGAAAGGGAGCGCGAGAAGAATAAATATAACGACTACCTTCCCCATCGAAGCAGCTGGGACGGAGACGAAGGCTACTATCGCGACATACTCGGTAGCCAAGGAGGCCCAGTTGGCAGTGGTGGATATGATTACAAGACGTATACCTATAAGTGATGACCTGAAACGAACCCAATCGTGGCCTTAGCATATTATGTTTCCTTTCTTCTTTCTGCTTTTGCCGGTTCTGCCATGCTTTGAAATTTAAAGTGATTCCCATGATGCACTCTTTACTTTTTCTTATTTGGTTCGCTTTTAGGCGCCTAGCGGGTCATCTCTTGCAATGAGTTACGTGTTACGGCCATGTCTATTTAGTTCCATTGCATGTAACATATCATTAAACTGCGCTTTTCTTTGCACTGTGATGCTTTTGCTCAAGTCATGTTGAGTCTATAATATTGTTTTTTTTTTTTTTCGGTAGGATTGCGCAACACAGCCTTCAAAACATTATTGCTCCAACGCTACTATGCCTTTCTCGCTTCGAAGTCACGCATGTATTTTGCTCCGGCATCCCGGCTATACAAAGCTTCCTCGGCTCTGAGTCTCTCTTCTCGCTCCCATAACTTCTGAATTCTCCTCTGGTCCTTCTCCTCCCGCTCAGTCCGTCTTCGCTGTCGTCTTTTTATCCTCTCCTGCTCCTCCTCAAGCCTCTCCTCTTCATCATCTGCCTCGTAGTGCAATCTCTCAACCTCATCTTCCGTCAAACTCCACGGCACAGAAAGTACCTCAACAAGATATCGACTCCGCTGATCGAGAAAGCGCATTTCGGCGTTGGTGTCCTGGACCGCGGAAACCCTTTCTAATTGAATCTGCATTGTACCTCGGAACATCGATAACGTCCCCTTCACTTGTACCACAACACCGGGGACCAAGGCCGTCATATCCACGGTTGTCTTATTGGTCGCTGCGACGTGTCTAGTCGCGCGCGCAGACTGTAGATCCTCTCCTCTGCCGCTTCGGACGGGCTTGTCACCATCGTCTTCGGTAATCGGAGCTTTGAGGACAATGACATCGAGTGTCACGCCACTGCTGTCGTCAACCGTGAGGATAGTTAGTGTGGGGTATTCTGTTCGGGCGACGATGATGCCGACTAGAGAGACGAAGCGGATGGGGTGATTCATGTAGAAGAACGTGGATTGATCTAGGTTAGACGTTAGATGTCTTCTTCTATAGCTATGTATGCTACGCGGACTGTCGAGCAATGAATCCTTAATATAAGATATGGAAACCCGGCCACCATGAAAGAATAGGGCCTTACAGGATGCTTATGCTTTCAATTCAAGCGGCGCCATTCATCCGGGATACAATTCAACAACCCCAATCAAAACAAAAAACACCTCCAATCTCCAAGAAATATTACATAAACACACAAGCTCAAAGCAAAGCAACAGAACCGCGAAAAATCCACAGAATACTTCAAGAAAAAAAAAAAAAAAAGGGGAAATCATACCTTCAAACCCAGCCCTCCGTTTAAGTAAATGCACATCTACAGCTCCCATCTTTACCCAGGCGAAATGCGTCGGAGATGCTCGGAAGCAGAATGCCGGGTAAAAGACGAGTTCGCCATCGTCGACTGTCGCCATCGGATCATTTTCTCGGCTGTGGATGTTGGACGATGATCAGGTTCTGGGGATTTGTTTCATTGTTTCTGGTAAGCGCTGATCATGTTATCGGATGGTCACGTGTGTTTTATTATCCGGGGTGGCTTTTCTTTGGGGCCTTAGGCTGCGGTATGATGTCAGATTCCAGAGTGACTTGTTACTATTGTGTATGTGAGCTTCTTGTGGAGAACTGGGAGGCTTCGTTCTTGTTGGAGCTTTTCTCAGGATAACTTTTGCTTAAATGAAAGCAAATCTGAGGCTTAGTGGTTTTGAATGTTGGAAGATTTTATGTATAAAAGATATCTATCTATAGTAGTAGTAGTAGCTCTTCATTATTAGCCCAAGCAACTAAGTTACAGTTGAACTATTGACCATCATTGGACTTTGTTTCTATATTAAAGGAGGTTTCTTCTTCTTCTTCTCTCCTTCCTAGATAAAGAATAGTTAAGCTACTGCTTTCCAGTCGCGAATACTTATCGACCTTCATCCAAGAGGAGACTCATTCCAGTCGCAGGCTTCCAAAGTATAGTAGAACATAGATATGAAAGTGAACAAAGTGAATGATGATAAATCATGATATAATTATCTAGTTCAACGGAGGGAGGTAGACTCAAGCTTATGTTAGTTTTGAAATAAAGGTTGAACAGTGTCTTTGGTGATCCAGAGCTAGAGCAATGCAATGCACTAACAGATCCAAGAAAGCGCTTAACAATCCATAACTAGTAATACTTTACAAAATCATAAAAAAGAGAAAAAACTACACTGGACAAGCCAAATGGGAGATGAAGGATCATGTGGTCCCACATTTAATCCCCCATACGACGCGGGGTTAAAAACTTCTATTGGTTTCCCACCTGTTTTCATGTCTACTGGAAACAACAAAACCTCAGTGAGCAATTCCTGATAGAGATCGACTATAACCTACCCAATACAATGCATCCAACTAAAACGATCTGTATCGTTGGTGTTACAGGGAATCAGGGTGGTTCTGTTGCTCAGCGATTTCTCCAAGACCCCACTTATCATGTCCGGGGCTTAACGCGCGACCCCTCTTCTAGCAAAGCTCAAGAACTCGCTACGCAGGGGATAGAGATTGTCCAGGCTAACCTCGATGATACGTCTAGCCTAAAGTCAGCTTTCGCAGGTGCCAGCATTATCTTCAGTGTCACCAATTACTGGGAGCCATTCTTTCGAGCAGACTGCCGACAGAAGGCTGCCGAACTGGGCATATCTTGTCGCAAGTATGCCTACAATGTTGAATACCAACAGGGCAAGAATATTGCCGATGCGGCAGCAGCAACAGCCGAAACTTTAGATGAAAATGGGTTCATTGCGTCGACGTTGAGCCACGCTGGGAGGTGTAGCGGGGGGAAATTCGACGAGCTGTACCATTTTGATGCGAAGGCAGACGTCTTTCCAAGTTACATGCAAAGTAATCACCCAGAACTGGCTCGGAAGATGTCCTGTGTGCAGACGGGATATTTCATGTCGAGCTACAAGCTGGTTCCGGATGCTTACTTCGGGAGAGCTGATGATGGCTCCTTTGAGATGACGTTTCCTACTGCGCCAGACGCACCGGTACCTCATTTTAATGTCAATGCGGATATGGGGCATTTTGTGTATGCAGTGGCTAAGATGCCGCCTGGGAAGAGTTACATGGCTGAAGGCACGACGTGCAGCTGGGCGGAGTATATGAGATTGTGGAGTCGGGTGAACTCAGTGCCAGCGTCCTACCGGCGGATCTCGTTAGAAGAATTAATAGATCGAACCCCCGATGCAGAATTTGGTGGGGAAGTGGGCGACATGTTCGCTTATTCGACCGAGCCGGGGTACGATGGTGGTGAAAGGGAGCTACTGCATGCCGCAGATATTCGAAAAGTAAGTGCTACCGTGTTTCTTCCTAATCCTCAAGCTCTTGCATGTAAATTGGTGCTTATTGTGGAATGTTGTTAGGCTGGAATCGACTGCCCAATGACGAGTTTGGAGCAATGGATGAAAAAAGAGGACTGGTCAAGCGTTTTACAAAAGGCATAAGCAGAATATCAACAAGACAGGAACATCCGAGTATTCGGCTCTGACTGTCCCGAAAGAATCCATATTTACCCTATCCACATTGTCGGATTTCCCTGTCTGTTCCCCACAGATGCGCGGGGTAACAAGTTGATTAGTGGCTTTATATTCATCCATAAAGGGGTGTCCCTTTTTAGCCTGAATACAAATGCCGGTATGCGTCAAGCGGTTAATGTTATGGGGTTCGATATCTAATGATCGGCAGTAGCCCCCATACTTCATTTCCCCACAAATTTATACCAGGTATAAAAAGCCGTTCCTAGATCATGTTAGACATGCTTCTGTGTACCCACAATGAACCAGTAAACATTTTTCGAGCATCATGTGGTCCCCCGGGCTCGCTGTTTTGTTCTTTCTAGCATTGGCGACTTCCGCCCTTTGCTATCCAACTGAAGTTTCGCCATACACGAACCCAATCCTGCCTGGATGGCACTCTGATCCGTCATGTACCTATGTCAAAGAAGAAGATACCATCTTCTGCGTGACCTCGACATTCATCGCATTCCCTGGACTCCCAATTTATGCAACAAAAGATCTGCAAAACTGGAAACAAGTTAGCAACGTCTTCAACAGACCCAGCCAAATCCCATCCCTTAGCGATACCACAGGCCAACAAGGAGGAATCTACGCACCAACACTCCGCTACCACGACGGAACCTTCTATGTGATAGTCTCATTCCTCGGCCCAGAGATCAAAGGCCTCGTATTCACCTCATCGGATCCATACAGCGACGCCGCATGGAGCGAACCACTAGAATTCTCCGTCCGGGGCATCGACCCCGACATCTTCTGGGACGACGACGGCACCATATACGTCACCTCAGCCGACGACGCCCGAATCCAGCATTACTCCCTCGACCTCCAAACCGGCGAAACAGGCCCCGTAACCTACCTCTGGAACGGAACGGGCGGTGCCTCACCCGAAGGACCCCATCTATACCGCAAAGACGACTTCTATTACCTGATGATCGCCGAAGGCGGCACCGAACTCAACCACGCGGAGACAATGGTCCGGTCCAAGAACCGCACCGGACCCTGGGAGCTATGTCCCCATAACCCAATCCTAACGAACAGGAACACGACCCAGTACTTCCAAACCGTCGGCCACGCGGACTTGTTCCAAGACGGGACCGGAAACTGGTGGGCCGTGGCCCTCAGCACCCGGTCCGGACCTGAATGGAAGAATTACCCCATGGGCCGCGAGACGGTTCTGGCCCCGGCCACCTGGGACGAAGGAGAATGGCCCGTTGTCCAGCCAGTTCGGGGTCAGATGCAAGGACCCTTGCCTCAAGAAAATAAGGAAGCCATAAAAGGAAATGGAAGCTTTGTCAATGAGCCGGATCATGTTACTTTTGCACCGGGCGATTCTATCCCATCTCATTTCTTGTATTGGCGTTATCCGAAGACTTCGGATTTCGTTGTATCCCCACAGGATCACCCCAATACCCTCCGTTTGACACCTTCCCCCTACAATATCACTGGAAATGCCTCCTTCCCTCCAGACCAGGGTATAACTCTCTTAACCCGTCGCCAAACAGATACCCTATTCACCTACAGCGTGGACATCGCATTCGACCCTCAGGTTCCTGATGAAGAAGCCGGTGTCACCGTCTTCCTCACACAGGAGCAGCACATCGACCTGGGCCTTCTATTATTGTCATCGCAAAACGGAACATCCTCTCCGGCATTCCGACTCCGGGTCGAAGGCCACGGGAACTACGAGGGCTCACTTCCGGGAAAGATCGTCCCTGTTCCAGAGGGGTGGAGGGGAGAGCCGATCCGGTTCCAGATTCAGGCTGTGAGTGATACTCAGTATGAATTTTCGGTTGCGTCGGCCAAGACGCCGGCACAGAGGGCGGTCGTTGGGTATGCGGATTCGAGGATTGTTAGTGGAGATACCGGAAGGTTTACTGGTGAGTTCCCGTCTTCCTTGCTTTTTCTCGTATATCTGGAAATGATGGGCTGACGGGATCAGGTACGCTTGTTGGAGTTTATGCCACGAGTAATGGTGGATCAGGAACTACAGATGCGTATATCAGTAACTGGAGATATGAGGGACAAGGGCAGAAGATTAATTGAGATTAGTCTCATTTTTCTCTTCCAGACTCTGATATATACTTTTCAAAATGGATGATACATACATCATGTCGACATTGAGACAATAACCCACCCTATACAATACATCTCCATACGATAGTTAAAATCCCCCCTGATTCCCGGCCTCATAGGCCCCGAACCCATCCATTCCCATCCACCCTAGCCCATACAACGACCCAAGATCCCACTGATTATCGAACGAAATATCCGGATTCGAAAAAGGAAGTATATCCGGCAACAACTCCCCTCCACCCACATTCTGCATCGCAGGACTCCTCCCATCTCCCTGAATAGGAAGTAGTCTCCCATCTCCTCCCTGCTGCAAGTGTAGCTGCTGCTGCTCACCGCCAACAATATTGGTCCCCCTTACATCGCTATCAAGGACCTTCGATACGGACTCCTTACACTGCGAGATGCACATCGTTGCTAAATCCCAGCCTTCTTCGGCGGCGGTTTGGAGCTTCGTCCAGAGGTGTTGGAGGCTTGTTTTGCAGGTTGAGATTATGGTTTTGTCGGTTGATTCGATGGTGCAGCGGAGGAGGATTATTACGGTTAAGATTAGGTGGTGGGCAGTATCTGGTTTGTGGGGTGTTGGTGTTAGGGTTGTGTAGAAGGGGCGGTTCAAAGGAATGTGGAGGGGAGCGTGGGTGTGTACATACATGGAAGCCAGAATTCTTGTAATTGGGTTTTGGTGAGGGAGCAGACGTAATTTACGATCTCTTGGGCGGATTTGCGGAGTTGGGAGAGGTGGTAGCGGGTTGTTTGGAGACGGTCAATGTCTGCTGATAGGGTTGCTGCCTTTTGTGTTCATTTTTAGCATTGTTTTTCGTGGAGGCTGTGCTGAGGATAAAGGGGGTTACTAACATGCAGAGAGATTCGATTCAGCAGTAATCGGACGGCAAGATAGCTTAGTTGTAGGCTGCTCGATCCGGATACTCTTGGGTTCTCGTCATTGTCTCGGCGGAGGTAGTTCGGCAAACGATCTTCCCATTCGTCTAGGGCTATTTCGAGACGGCGGATCTGCTTCCAGGTCTCTTTTGGGTCGAGGTGTAGGTCGTAGACTAATGGTAGGACTTCTCCCAGGATTTCTGTGAGGGTGCAAAGGTGGATGAATGAGTTTGCAGCTTTGATGCGCGTGTCCGATTGGTTTAAATCTGTGATTATGTCCTCCAGCATAGGTATGGGCACGTCGTATCTAGATTTGGTTATGGTTGGGCTGATGCCATGGGCAAAACTTGACCTGCGATTTTAGTTAGAGGGAGACATCATTGGAGGAGATAGTAGTTCACTAACCAGCGATCATGGATGACGACTGCCCACCAGAGGCGAATGCGCAGCGACTTTTCGCTCTTGGGCCGTCTCCAATTAGTCGGGTCACGGTTTAGCCCTAGAGTCTGAGCTAGGGTAACCGCCCGGCCATTGTTGATGGTGTTCACGAGCATGGAATAAATAGGTCGTCCACCCATGTCCAACAACACCGAGTACATGGTTGACAATGCAGGGGCTAGAAAGTCCTGCTGCAAAGCCTCCACAGCCAGGTTCCATATAAAATATACGTCCGGCTTGGGAAATTGCCTGAGGACAGGCGAATGATGCCAGAGGATTAAGGACACGGAAAAGAAATAGCAGACGAGGACTGGTGACAGCTTGTCGCCGGCTTTATATAACTCCATGAACAGTTGTTCATCGAGGAGAGGGAATGCTGGATGGATCTCCTCGAAATACCTTACAAATGTTAGTGGCGTAGGAAAGAGTCAAAGGGGTGGTTTAGCGTACAATCTGACCAGTTCATCGGTATAAGGTTGAAGGACTTGCATCACTATCTCTTTCTGTCGCTTTCCAGGATTCGCTGCCATAGACAGGCCCTCTCTCCGCCGGGGAGCTCTAAGGTACACCATAGGAGTATCCGAGGACCCACTTCGTTCTCCAGTAGATAGCGAGCTGGATTTAGAAGACATGTATCGCTCCAAGATCTGTATGTCTTCGGAGATGACAGGACTGGCAAACATGGATAGTTCCACCTTAGATTGATCTTGGCCTGGTGAGCCATGATAGTTACGCCCGATGTGTTCTTGGACGACTTCTCCATCGGCTGGAGCCGGTGAAGGTACTCTATCAATGGGAGTGAATGGTGCAATTCGTGGTGTTTGGGCACGTCGCTGATCATGCTTCACTCTGTGGCGAGCACTAGACGATAATTTAGGACTACTAGATATTATGCAAGGGACTTCCTGCAAGCTGCATAGCACACAGGGCTGTTCTGGAGTTCCACCGGTACATCGACGCTTGAATCGGCGACAGCGATCACACGCGGGGACTTTGTGGGAGCGATATGGTCGTCGTTGTTTCTGCATAATATAGGTCGCTATGACTGCAATTTAACTCTGACATCCATCCACTTAGCTTGTCTGAGAGTGTATGCGACTTTGGGTACAATGTTGAGGTAGTATCCAGCGGAGATCCTTTTGCGACGGCCTTTTCCGGCGGAAAAGATGTGGGGTAAAGATAAGATAATGGATACGGCAGCTCAACCACAATCGATGCCATCAATGCCAAGAGAAATGCTGCAGATAACTAAATCCTTCTCAGCGCAGGGATAACTGCTGACCCTAAAGCTTGGAAATATGGACAATTATTGTTGAGGCATGTGACTGCGTTTCACGCGAGGGGCCACGATAGCTGCGGTGTCAGGCAGGCATGTAATACTTAATACGTATCTCTTATCATTCCTGATCGGTCATATTGCATGTATACTCGAGCTAGGACTGCAGGATCAGCCGAGCAAGTTGGCCTCCATCATCCTTTTCTTTGGATTCCTTTGCGCTTCCTGCTGTCTGCGCCGCTCGTCGTCACTGATGTCATCTATGTTGGTCTCGACTGTGTCCAGAGCGGCCTTGACCTCCTCCTCGCGATTGTCATGTCCAGCCACCGCCACCTCCAGGATATCCTTCTCCAATCCATTGACAACCTGCCAATCAATCCCGGCAGCTGTCAACATCTTACACCCCTCTGAGCCACCGACAAATGTCCCCGGCTCCTTAACTCCAAAATATACCTTCTGGATACCCTTGCGATCCCCCTGACGAGTCCGGATAATCCTCTGAACACAAGGTAAATTCCCCGACAGTCGCTTCCCGCATGGCTCCATTGTAACGTACATAACTAGCTTTCGGTCCGGTTCAGATGGTAATACTTCCCATACGCGGTCTTCTGGCACGGAATGCACCGCAGCGTAATTGGACAGACAGCACTGCTCTGCGTGTGTATTACCCGCTAATTCCATAGTGTAGCCAGTTGAGACGATCCGGTCGTCTTCAGTCTTGTAATCACCTTCTTTGCGGGAGATGAGGATGGCGCCGACGCGAAAGTTGGTCGGACGGGGAGGGGATTTTTCGGCCAGAGAGAGACATTCTCGTAGATATTTGACGTGTGGAGATTGCATATTGTTCAATTCAATCAAAAACAATCCCGAACAAAGGAATGAAACACAGATTTGAGCGATCAAACTTGTATATACATCAGAAGACCGAGGTTAAACAAATTTAAGTGTAAAACACTAAACGAAAATAGATTAAAGATCAATGACATCGAAGGCGGGGAGAGCTCTATTGGTCGATCTAACCCAATTGGGTAAGCAAAATGGGTTTCCCAATGGGCACGTCCCAACGCGTCTGTCCGCAGTTAATCAATTGACTCCTACTTTCCTGTTTGTGTTTTCTTCCATGTCTTTTGCTCTCATTTGTTCTCCACTCTTTCTGTCTTACTGGATCTCTGGAAGGTGGTGAGCTGTGATTATTATCTATTTTCTGTTTTTTTTTTTTTT